TTGATCATTGTATAACTGAAACCCAAGCACAAAAATGAGTAAGTCTGCAACTGTACCTCATGATGTCTCACTATTAAAAAAAAAAAAGATATCCATGTACAGGAAACCAGGGGCTTCAAATAAGAGAAAACTAAAAATATGCACACCAAGGTATCCTAAAAGAGGACACTAAGAGCAAGAAAAGAGCCGATGTGATGATACAGTGAGTAGAGTGCTTGTCTTGCACGTGGCTGACCCAGGTCCTATCCCTAGCATCACATATGGTCCTCCAAGCTCACCAGAAGTGACCTGAGTGCAGAGCCAGGGGTAAGCCCTGAATACCACTGTGTGGGGCAGAAAAACAAACCAAACTAAATTAATATAAGAGAAAAGCAGCTTGTCACATACAAGAGAAACTCTTAAAGCTATAAGCAGAATTCAACAGAAACTCTAGAGACCAATAGAAAATGGCATGGCACACTGAAAATGCCGAAAGAAAAAAATTCCAACCAAGAACTCTTCACAAGGATAGATTAAAACCAGTAATTAAGTAATTAGGAATTTCCTGGTTAAGCAAAAGCTAAAAGAGTTTACTGCTACTAATACAGCCTTACAAGAGATGTTAAAATCTTCTTTAAACTGAAAGTAACTGGTGTTAACAAGAAAACATAGAAAAGGGGGGGGGGGAACCTCACTATAAATAGTAATTAAAGGATGTAACTAGTAGATTAATCAAATAAAGCATGAAGATTAAAAAAACAAAAGTAGGATTCCACCCACACATTTTCCACATAAAAGGGTCCAGCTCCACAACTGATCCTGAAAAGAACACAATATGATACCACTAAAAATATGACACCAGTTTTTGTTTACCTGGGGAGACCCAGGTAAACAAAAACTCCAAGGCCTTTTTGGAATGGGGGCAGGCAGATTCCTTCTTCTGCCTGAAGGCTCAGCAGCTCCCAGCCACACCAACACCCAGACACCCTTTGCCATAGAAATGGCCCAGCGCCACTACTGAACCTCACCCCACGATCCAGCCATCCAGCCACCAAATCGTTCCAGCCCCACACCTCCTGGAGTGCGTGAACATACAGTACTGTCAGCCCAGTTGGACCACAGCAAATCTGATAAGAAAACTGCGTAGAAGACCACCAAACTCAATGAGCAACAATGGCAACACAGAAGGCTCAACTAGCACCAATTCCCGTTGTTCGTCGATTTGCTCGAGCGGGCCCAGTAACGTCTCCATTGGAGACTTTGTTGTTACTGTGTTTGGCATATCGAATACGTCACGGGGAGCTTGCCAGGCTCTGCCGTGCGGGCGAGATACTCTCGGTAGCTTGCCGGGCTCTCCGAGAGGGGCAGAGGAATCGAACTCGGGTCGGCCATGTTGGCTGTGTGAAAGGCAAACGCCCGACCGCTGTGCTATCGCTCCAGCCCCAGCACCAACTAGCCCAGTAAATTCTAAGATTAATGATGTTAGTAACACCAATGGGAAATACAACAATTATCACAAATTGACTTTTATTGGTCTACTTTTTGACAATTTCATTTGCCTTTGAGTTAACAAGCAACATGAAGTAAACTTGTTTTGACTGCTAAGGGGGGAGGCTGGGGTGGTGAGTAGAAAACAGAACACTGTTGAAGGGAAGGTCACACTGGTGGTGGGATTGGTGTTGAACATTGAGTACCTAAAACAACTATATTTTGAATAATTTGGTATACCACAGTGTTATTAAAAGAAAAAAATAGGGTCATGTAGAGAATACAGCTGTCAGGGTGCTTGCCTTGAAAATACCCAACCCAGATTCGACCCCTGACACCACAAACAGGCCCCAAAGCCCATCCAGGAATGACTCCTGAACTGAGATCCAGGAGTAAGCCCTGCATGCAGCTAGGTGTACCTCCCTTCCCCAATCCCACAAAAGTAGTAAAAGAATTAAAAAAAAAAAATCCACTAGAAAGATGTGAAAAGAAACACAAAATTAAATACTGGGATTAGGAGCCAATATGATTTACTATTTAAATAAAACTGGAGTGGAGGGTGTGAGAGATTCAATTTCCTCAACTTCCTAAGATCTACCTGTACATCTCCCATTTCAATTTGAAGATCCCTTTCCTTCCCAACCAAAGCCCCATTTTAATATCATATAACCTGTTGGGCAAGAGCGATAATACAATTGGGTAGGGCACTTGCCTGGCAGGAGGCCAACACATATTCCCTGGCTTCACATTTGGTCCCCTAAGCCCCTCAGGAGAAATTCCTGAGTGCAGAGCCAGGAATAAAGCCCTAACTAAGCACTGTCCGGTGTGGGGCCCAAACTAAAACATATCTATAAACATCCTGTAGATTAAAAAATCATCTTGCATTACAACTATCTGTAAGCTAACACTCTGGCCTTGATTTTTCAATTTTACCTTTGCAGCTAGAGGAAAGTAAGTGTTTCTTTAAAGTAGATAAAAAAAAAAATCTTATGCAAGTCACTTATGCAGATATTAGCAAGGAATCTGAAGACCTGAGAAATGTGGAGTTCTTTTTCTTACCCTACTTTATCCTGCATAATTAGAAGCAAAAAAGCTACCCTTATTATAGTTAATTTGATACAAAACATATTACAGCAAATATATAATCATCCAGAAAGCTGTCTTTTAGCCAATATTTTGCACATGTCTATTGCCACATCACACATGGAGTATCACTATTTACCAATTGTGAAGCAGTCACTAGCTCTTTTCAATATAATATTAGGGATTTAGGAACCTCATCCTCAACTCAAAAAACACCCATAAGATAATCCTCTAAAAAAAGAAAAATCTACATTAGTGTTACAGAGATACAGTACTAATAGGAAAATTATATCTTTATATTTATCTATATTTAAGAACTTTGATTAAAAATCTACAAGATTTTTTTCCTAATAGAGAGTCCAGAGAGATAGTATTGACAATAAGGCGCCTGACTTGCACAAGGCTGACCCCGTTTGAACCCTGGCACCAAATGGTCTCCCAAGCCTAACAGGAGCAAACACTGAGCACAGAGTCAGATGCTCCCTCTCTCCCTCGCCCAACCTATATCAGATGATCTTTTTTTATTTTCCTAAAAAGACAGGCAGGTGTCTATTAAGGAACTGACCCATGTAATTGTGGAAACTAGCCACTCCAAAATATGTAGGACAAATATGAAGGCTGGGAAACTCAAGGCAGAAACTGATGCAAGACTGTTGAAGACTTTCTGTCTGCTTGGAGATACTTCAATTCAAAATATAGATCTTCAATTGTCGGATGAAGCCCACCCACATCACTGGTACCCTTTATTTAAAATCAATCAATTGACTGTAAATATAATCACGTCATTAAAATACCATCGTGGGAACACTCTAAATATTTAATAACTCTATATACCCTAGTCAACTTGGCTGTCAGACTAACCGGCACACATAATAAACAAGACTTCTTAAATCTACTGTCCTATAAGAAAAGCCTTTTAACTCCAAGTTCAGAAAAGGTAAAATTTCAGTAGGAACACTAAGGTGAATGGTCTAAAGAAAGTCACTTCCTCCTCCAAAGTTGATGAAAACGATTTTTCCATCAACAAACCCTTCCTCACTAACCTCCAAGAACACCACCACGTCCTAAAACTTTGTATGTACTGTTCAAAAAAAAAAAACCAACTGTGTCAAAATTATGATTTTCCATCTTCTACAGAAATCAGACATTAAAAAACAATTATACCCGAGAGCTGTAAAAGCGTGGGTTGTTGGACAAGAAAAGGATTAGACAAGGGGATGCATCCGGATGTGCTGTACTCTGAACAGAAAATTCCAGAGCCCTGGCTTCATCTTTTCTCGGTGACAAAAGCAATTTGACCAGAAGAGTGGGTGGCTGGGGGCCAAATAATAATAATAATAATAATAATCTTATGTGTGTGTGTGTGTGTGTGTATATATTAACAAGTCTCACAATGGAGACACTACTGGGACCGCTGGAGCAAATCGATGAACAAGGGGAGGACAGTGCTACACTGCCACAGTATAGATAGATAGATAGATAGCAGACTATATATATATATATATATATATATATATATATATATACACACACTATACATATACATAGAGAGAGAGAGATTCACAAACGGGCCGAAACACACCCTTTCGAAAAGAAACATGAGGTTGATTCAAAAGCACCCGAGACACTAAATCCGTGGACAAAACCTCGTGGAGTGGACCCTACAACTAGGCAGCACTGCGATTCCGCCCGATCCCCACCGCACAGAAGCGCGGGTCGCCAGCGGGGTCTTTGGAGGCTTCGAGGACCACCCGGGCGCCCACCTGGGCCTTCTCGGCGCGACTGGCAGTAACGGGCAAGGGGCGCGGACTGCGGCCCTCTGGAGCTCCCCAGGCCCGGGGTTCTGCACGGCGGGGGGGGGGGGGGGGGGGGGGCGTCCCGGCGGAGGAAACGGGAGGGGAGGGGGAACCGCCGAGATTTGCGACCTCCCGCAGCCCGACCGTCCGGGCCACCCGAGACGGCCAGTCCAGCCGCGGGAAGGGCAGAATCCCCACTCTGACAGGTTGCGAGCGGCCTCCGCGGAGCCGGGCGAAAAGCAGGGGCTTCCTTCCCGCACGCCGCGACGGGGCGCTGTCACCCCCGACAGGGCCCCTTCCCCCACCCCCAGCAAAGCCCCGAGACGACTCCTCTTGGGGCGCCAGGTCGGGGAGGAGCAAAGGGCGCAGGGTTACAATGCAAAAAGAAAAAAAAAGGTTGAAAAAAATAGTCCCCGAGGACGACGCGCTCCAGGGGCGAAGAGCAGGGGGGGTGACCTCTTTCCGCCTCGGGGTTGCAGACGGGCCAGCTGTGGTGGGCCCCCAAACCGCAGGCGGACCCCGGCGGCAGCGCCGAGTGAGAATCAGAGAGAGCGCGGCGAGGTTCGCGCCCGGGGTGGGTGGCCCGGCCGGGGCTGGCTGAAGGTGCCCTCTGCACCCTCCGCGGCCCCTTCCAGGTCCTGGGCCCAAGGCTACCTCTTCGCACGCTGGCACGACGCCGCCGCCGCCGCCGCTTCCCGCCGCACAGACCAGACGACAGGCTCTTCAGATGCCACGCACCGTCACCCCGCGCAGTGACCTGGCCCGAGGGTGGGTGGCTCCGGGTGCCGGAATTCGCGGGGTGCAGGCGGAAGCTCGTCCCCCCACCCCCACCCCCTCCGCCCCACCACCCTCGGGACAGGCCAGCCGCGCCCACTAACAACGTGCTCACGACCTCTGCGGCCCGCTCGGCGCGCGCTCCTCCGGCACGCCGTCGCCGGCGCCGCGCGCTGCCCCACGGGACTTGTAGTTTCTCCGGCACGCCGCCGCCGCCGGCGTCGCGCGCTGCACCACGGGACTCGTAGTTCGAGCGCCAAAATCGCGCGGCGGCTTCGCGCTCTCCCCGAGAGTGCGGCGTGTGGGCGTGAGAGAGAGCGTCTTGCGCACGCCCCGGAAGTGGCGTCACAAGGCTCTCGCGTGAGCGGGCGCGCCGCTTCCGCATACAGAATCGTGGAGAGTTGTATGGGTGAGTGTGGCGGCTGGGGACTCCGGCCCTTTCTTTTCTCCTTTGTCTCGGGCCGCTCTTCTGGCGCCGCCGGGGCTGGCAGGAGGATTCCGGCTCGAGTCATGGGGTCGCCTCGCCCGGGACCTGTTCCGGCGCCGGGGTCTTTCCTTGTGTTTTCCTCGGCCTGGAGCGGAGCGGGCCGTTGTGTGGGCGGTGAGGAGAAAGCGCAGTTGTTTTCGGACCCCGCGGGGCCGGGGGGAGGGGGGTTGGGGGAGGGCTCGGAGGAGCCAGAGAGGCCGCGTCAGGCCCCCTCTCCCTGGCCGGGCCGGGCCGCGCGGAGACGGGGCTGCTGCGGGCGGGCGGGCGGGCGGACGAGCGCGGGGGAGGACCGGGCAGCGGGTGTCGCATACGAAGACGCGTCTGCCGAGTCTTGAGCGGAGGAGGCTCGGGAACCCCTGACCCGGAGGTCTGCCCGGAGGTAGGCCGCGCCCGGACCGCAGTGTGAACTTGGGTGGGGGGCTGGGGGGGGAGACTCCCCTCTCTGCTGCGCTTCTCACCCGTCCGTCTTCCCCCCCCCCCCCCCCCCCCCCCAGTCCCGCGTCTGACTGGCGGCGCGGCGCGGGGTCGAGCGCCTCGGTCTGAGCCTCAGCCAGTGGGGTCGTCTTCTGAGAAACTGCAGCTGGCGCCCCCCCCCCCCCCGACTTCTGTGCGTGCGCGCGGAAGCCCGATGCAAACACTTGAGGCTCCTTGGCACGCGCGCCGCGGAGGCGAGGACTCCCTCCCCACCCCTCCCCCACCCCCGCCTTTGGGCTCGAGTCGGCCTCCCTTGGGCCTCCCGCCCCCCCCCCCCCCCCCCCCCCCGCACACCCGGCGACGCTCAGGGCCGGCTCCTGGCCACTGCAACTCGGGCATCGCTTCCGGCGGTGCTCCCGCAGACCTGCGGCGTGCCGGGATCGAAATGCGGCGGCCGCGTGCGAGGTGGTGCTGTCCGCGCCGCGTCGCGCCGCGGCTCCGCCCCGGGACCCCGCGTTTTCCTCGGCAGTTTTCCTGGGACGCCGGCGGCGAACGGCCCTCCCCGCTGCTCTGCAGCCTTAGGAGCGACGTGTCGTTCTAGCCCGGAGTCGGTTGTTCTAGCCCGTTTTTTGTTTCGTGTCTGTCGTTGGACTAGAGTTGCCGGTCAAGATCACATTCATTCATTCTCGTTTCCAAACTTCCTGGGGGGGTGGGGGTGGGGCGAAAGTGACTGCTTCCGTCACTGCTAAAGGAATCCGTCATTATTTGTTTCTTGGGATTCAAAACCGATTTCTGTCTATTCCCTTATCAGAAAATCTATGGTGGGGTGTGACTGTGATGTGACTGATTTTTCTGGATAACCGTTTTAAGTAGTTTTTCTGAAAAATTCCCGTTTTTGAGTGTTTTTTTTTCTGTTATGGAGTTCGGATTTTTTTTTTATCAGGAATTAGTATTTTATTATCATTTGGATAGTAAAAGACAAATCCGTCTCTTTGTGGGGGGGAGTGAGAGGGCTGGTTTTGGGGGTAACCCGGAGATGCTCAGGGCTTACACCTAGCCCTGTGCTCAGGGATCACTCCTGGTGTTTGGGTGTGTGTGGGACTGTTAGGGTGCCAGGGATTGAGCCCAAAGTTCACCACGCGCAAGGCAAGCGTCCTGCCGGCTGTACTACTGTCGCCTGCCTCAATGAAAGCTAACTTTCTTGAAGTTCTTGGTGGTTTACAATGACTTATTTTTATCCCCTCTCATAATGTAGCTCTTTCTGCTTCTTTACGTGAAAAATACCTTTTTGGTAATTTTCACAATTTTCAGTTCCGAATTTGAGAAATTCATTGAGCTTTGAACTTTTGCTCTCCCTTCACCACTTTATTTGAATAATAACCTGATGGGGGACCTTAAGTGATTGTACCGTGACCGTTTGATCTCCATGCTGCTCTAGTTGAGTTCTGTCCCGGGTACCCCAAGACCCACCAGGAGTGATTCCTGAGCCCAGAGCCAGGAGTAATTCCTGAGCACCACCAGGCATGGCCCCCTAGATAAAATAAAAAAGAAACAGCTTGCTGTTCTAATGGTGATATATATATATATTTTTTTTTTTTAAACTAAGCTTCTTAGAAACTGATTCACACTGTACTCAATCAGCTCTTCTATAGTTGGAGTTAGGAGATTGGGTGAACCAATAATGTGTCACCACTTCTTATTTCTGTCCTTTGGATAGTTCATATTCCCAAGGATGTTTGAGACTTAATGGTCATTAAGATGCAGACTGGAGGGCAGGGCAGGGAGAAAAAAAGAAAAGGGATGTGTAGACTGGATCTTAAAACTTCCTGTCCGTTGTTTCTAAGCTCCTCACTTTGCTACCTAATTTTGACATCCATTATAAAAATGAGACTTTAAGAAGTCAGCTGTGGATGGATATTCCGACTATACCTGTTTTGGATACCCTTTTGATTTCATTCAGTGTCCACTAGACTGAAATAACTTACAAGTTCACATATTGAGTAGTTTTGTCAAATATTTCAGTAAACATGTATGTTTTAATTTGCTCCAGAAGTACAAGCTTAAAAAACCTGTGCTTCATTCTTGATTAATCATAACTGAATAGAAATAGGCTCTCTAACCCTTTTGGGCATTAATGCAACTTCCCAAGACTTGACACTACATTGAACCTTTGAACATCATTAAACCGTGGCACCACCAAAATTTCAGCTACACAAAACTCGTGATATCATTGAGAGAGATCCTAGTGCAGTCTGTTCAGTTGAAACTGCTCTACTTAAAGTGTATCTGATTTCTTCCAGGTGGCTGATCTTAGGATCTTTTAACATGTTTAGAATCTTGCTACCCTACCATGCTTGTACATGTTTTTTATAGTGCCTTGAACACAATTTGGAAAGCAAGACCCTGAAGTCAGGGTCACAATTTAAATGAAGCTGATACATTTGTGCTCCCCTTTCCCCCACCCCATACTTCTTTACTTTTTACTTTTAATAACAGTAGTCACACTTTTCTGGATACGATTGTAGCTGTGGGCTGTGGTTGTGTATTGGTGGGAAAGCGCTTGCTTTACTTGCATGAGATCTGAGTTCCATTTCCAGCACCACATACATACATAATCAAACTCTTATGTGAGATGTACCAATTAATGTTACTTTAAAGACTGTCTCTATAATGAGATTTCTTTTTTTTTAAAAAAAAAAACTTGATCATTGAAATTTCATGGCTTCCCTTGGGTTCAAATTGTTTTTAAAGTCTTAGCATTAGAGCGTACAAGTAATATCAAATCTTTGCCATTCCAGAATTAGTTCATGAAGTTCTGCCATCTGTTAAAATAATCAAAATGGAAAATGCTACAATCGAAGAGGAACGTGATAGCATCCCCCTTGAAGAGGCCGAAGCATTGTTAGATTCAGAAGCAGAGCCTTCAGTGTGTATTAATGAAAACACAGTAAGCGGTACCATGCAAAACACTACTGTGCATGTGGCCACATCAAGAAAAAGGAAAATGGATTCTGAAGGTGACCTTGTACAGTTAAGTTCTAGCTGTGGGGAAGACATTCAATCCAAGAAAAAAAAACTAGAACCTGAAGTTATCCCAAAGGAAAAAGGTTCTGGTGACGATGAAGGTATTTTGAGGAAAAGAAAATGGGAATCTGATGATTTTCCAGAAGAGAAACCTACTGGAGATGGAACTCAGAAAAAGAGAAAAAGAGAAGTTGAGGATATTCCTGAGAAGCAAAAAGTACGTTGAACATATTTACAGTGGGTTCTATTTAACTGAAATGGAACAACTGTGAAATAATAACTGGTTTTCACCTAATCTTAAGAATGTCCTATTGGGGGGGGGGGGCGCTGAAGAGATAGTACATTGTGGGTAAGGTTCATGGAGTACATGGAGTGGGGTTCACCCACCCCGAACACAGGAATAAGCCAAGGTGTGTGGCACAAAAGCGAAAGTCACCTTAAGCTAGTGTAGGTTTTTAACTATTTCTTACGTGGTTTGGTTTATTTAGATGGAACTTTGCCTGTTTAGTGTGGGAGAACCTATATTCTGTTAAGAGCCATTTGGAAATGTATAGTTTCATTTGCAGGCCATACAGTACAGGCAGATAGAACGTAGACAGCCAACAAGAAACAGAAACAGACCACATGATTTTCACTTGGCTATTTAGGAGATTTAGGAGTGGGTCAGATGTTCCCTACCCCTTGTGCTAGTGAGATAATTTTTTAAAAAAATTTTTTTTCCAAACTGACTATACATCTGAAAGCTATCTCTTAGTCTTGGTGTTTTGTTCTTGTTTTTAAGACATATAAGGTCTAGATGATTTACACTTTACATTATCCCATTTATTTATTTTTTTTCAGCTGAGGTAGCCAAGATTATCACTTAATAAGCTTCTAGGGCTGGAGAAATAGCACATTAGGTAAGGCATTAGCCTTCCATGTAGCTGACCCATGTTCAATCCCAGCACCCTGTATGGTCCCCTGAGCCCCTCCAGAGTTAACCCTGAGTACTGAGCATGTGGTCCCAAAACAAAGCAACAGACTTCAAAATCATGTCTTTTTACCTTTATTTGTATTATTCCTTAAGCTATATTGTTTTCAGCAACTTTACTGGGGCAGTTTTATACAGATAAACCAAGTGAATATGGAACCTGATACTTAGCAGGGGTAGTTTAGAGCAGCTCATTTTCATCTGGGAATACTATGCTGTGAATTAACCTGAAACAGTCTAAGTTTGGAGGAAAGGAGTTCTCCAGTGAACAAGTAAAATTCTACAAGGCTGCTGTTTGTCATGAATGGAAAAGAATCCAACTTACGGGGAAGAGCTTGATTTATAAATAAGTTTACTAGCAACAGTACTCTTTCCACATGAAAATATTAATATAAAGTTGTTAAAAGATGAGGCATTTGAATTGAACACGGAAGTGAGTTTTGAAGCACTTTTACCTATCGGGGTTTTTTTTTTTTGAGATACACATATACACGCATGTGCGCACGTGCACACCTAGAGAGTAGAGAGATGGGTAGGGCAGTTGTCTTGCATACAGCTGACCCAGGTTCAATACCTGGCACCACAAAATGGTCCTCTGAGCACTGCGAGGTATACAGCCCCAAAACCTAAAATGATTTTTTTTTTCTTTTTGGAGTGTAAGGACTGCACCTGACAGTGCTCAGGGTGTTCTCACTGCTCAGGGTTCACTCCTGGCCGTGCTAAGGACCATATTGAATGCTGGGGATTGGCTCAACCATATGTATGTAAAGCAAGTGCCCTACCTACTGTACTCTCTCCAGCCCCTAACTTAGAATTCTGAAAGAGTACTAGTTTTCTGTAAGACATTGGCACTGGAGACTGAGGACATTGGAGGAGAGAAATGGACAGTGGTGAAGGAATTGGTAGAACATTGTATGTCTGGAACCAAATCCTGAATAACTTTGTAATCCACTAAGTGAACTGAGTATGTTTTTTAAAGGAAAGATCAATATGAAAATTGTAAGCATAGAGATTTAAAAAGGGGGAGGGGCTAATTATAAAATATTGGATTTTTGTGGTTAATGCCATTACTTTAATGAAGTCTACCAATTTGGATAGTGTTTTATTCTCCTGTAGATTGCATGCTCTTTTAGGTTTATTTTTGCCATGTTCTGATCCTTAATTTTGTTCCAACCTCCAGAATGTGGAAGTAGGTCACAGCTCAGCAGTTGCTACCCACTACAATGAACTGCCAGAAGTTGGTTTGGAGAAGCGTAGTGAAAGTCGTATTTTTTATATGAGAAACTTTAACAACTGGATAAAAAGTGCCCTCATTGGTATGTTGCCTCTTTTCAATTGTAGTTTGTAATTTTAAGTTTTAGCTTGTCTTATTCCTCTTCCCCTCCACCAATAGTTGTTAAACATATACCAAGCTCCTGTGTCTTTAATTACCAATTTTTGATCTTAACATAAGTGGAGCCAAAACTAAAACTGGGCCTGTGAGATAAATTCTTTTATTACTTTTAGTTGACTACATAGGAAAATGGGTGTTTCATTCATACTGAGTTATTCAGGCTTTCAGAATACTATTTTATACTTATATTTAGGTTACAAAGTATTGTTTTGGCTATTTTATGCTAATAATGTAAATGACATTGGAGTAAATGTTTGGTTCTATCAAGTCAAGAAAACGGTGCTCTTGGGCTTTTTAAAGTCCCCTGGTGTAATCATGTGTTGGTTGTATGTGGAACTTGTTTTTTTATATGGTATATAGGGAGAGCTAAAACATACTTTGAGGATTGACAAAGACATTTAACTTTCTGAAATAGCATTTTTATGTGGAATCTCATCTTTGAAATTAAATGGAAGTCAGTGCAGGAACTATGATTCAGTATATTGTTTTGTATATCTAATACTCATACATGAGTTAGACTGTTTAATATATAGTTTTTTTCACAATGAGGTTATTTCTTCTCCAGTTTCCCTTCTGTGCTCCCGCTCCTCCTTACCTTCCCCTTTATCTCCTGTGAATTTTTTCTTATATATTGGAAATAGCAAAGTTCTAGTTGGTTAATTTTTATTGGTTTTGAGGGCTGGTTACTTATTTGTAAAGATTAATTCATTTAAACAATATAATTTAACATTTTAACTATTTCTATCTTTAGTCTTTAATATTTGTTTTAAAAACAATTTATTTGATTTCACTAGTTTTCAGGGTAATTTGAGTGGCAGTCCCTTCCTCTAAACCCCCACCTTTTTTTAAAAAAAACTGGAATAATTTGACTAAACCCCCACTTTTTTTTTTAAACTGGAATAATTTGACATTGTTTTTAGACACTATTTAAAAGGTAATCTTAGAACCCTAGTCCTAATCCTAATCTTCCTTTTCTGATTCTCATCAGTGATACACATAATTTACCCTTGGGTTTTTGTTTGGTGTGTTGGGGGTTGTTTGGTTGTTTTGATATCTGGGATTATATGTAAGATCTCAAATATTCTATTTGTTTTATGAAGTGCCATCTATTTCATGTATTAATTCAATCACTTTTAAGTTCAGCTGCATTTTCTGCATTGTATTTTTATCATTTGGAAAGCAGGAAGTTTTTCAAAAGACTTGTCAGACTTTTTTTTTTTTTTTGCTTCTTGGGTCACATCCAACAGTGCTCAGGGGTTACTTCTGGCTCTGCACTCCTGGCGGTGCTGGGGAGACCATATGGGAGGCCGGCGATGAACTCGGGTCGGCCGTGTGCAAGGCAAACGCCCTACCCGCTGTACTATCGCTCCAACCCCAAGACTTGTCAGACTTACTAAAAAGTTCTCTCAGCATATTCATGGTGTTCTTTCCGTCAGCTGTCTCAGCAACTCTTTCAACAAGGGTTTTGCTCTCCATACCTGTTGGTTTTTCCTGATGTAATCCTTGTCATCTGTGCCAAGTTCCTTCCTGGCTTTTCCCTGATTATTCTCACATCCAATTTGGGATCATTCATTTTATCTTAATAAATAGCTGAGTACTATTCTTATATGTGATACAGATGTCCTTTTTCCTTCCTTTCCTTTTGTCTATCATTGCAGTGCTTACCCATGTTGTATGTTTTAGTTGTGGTCCCATGCATTAAAGTGGCCACAGTGTACACACTTTGTTGTGGCTGATTATCATACGACAGCGCTCCTTCCTGGATCACACTCAGATACATGGGGTGGTGCCAGGGATTAAACTGTACAACTCATGCATGCTGTACCACTCACCTTCCTCAGAGCCCCATCATCATGATCTTTCCTCTGATAACTCTATATATGAAAATAACTTTTAAATTGTTTACACTGGATATGATTTTTATGCTCTCAAGAGTCACAGGGGGGAAGTTAAATATGGAACACTGGTGCTACTATTGAAGTTTAAATGCCTATTGAAAGTCGAAAATGCTTATGCAGAATTTCTTTAACAGTCAAAATAGAACATACACGAAATAGAAAGTTTTATAGTCAGCCCACCCTGCCCTGGGGGACCCAGTCCTGCAACCAACCTCTGCTCCCCAACCATGCTCAGGCCACTTTCCGGACCGTGAGGCCATGAAACATCATAAGACACTTCTTACTCATTTTCCATAATTACCATGTTTGATGGAGTTCAGACAGTAGGCAACAAATTATACACACACACACACACACACACCCTTCTCGGAGAGCCTGGCAAGCCACCAAGAGTATCATGGGCAGAGCCTGGCAAGCTCCCTGTGGCATATTCAATGTCCCAAAACCAGTAACAGGTCTCATTCATCTGACCTTGAAACAGCCTCCAGTCGTTGGGAAAGATGAGTAAGGAGAGGCTGCTAAAATCTCAGGGCTGGGACAAATAGAGATGTTACTGGTGCCCGCTCGAGTAAATCGATGAACAATGGGACAGCAGTGATACCCTGATAGTCAGAAAGGAAGCGTAGAATTAGTGTTTAGCATTGTATCTGGTTTTGGAATTGCTGAGTCTTTTAAGGTATTGGTATTTCTTTAACATATGTTTGAATCATTTGATTATTGACCCATATCAATAGGAGTAAGAATCTACTAACAGTAGTTAGGAATCTACTTATTATTTGTTAATCATTAATGTTATTTTATAAGTTGAGAGAAAAGATTGCATTTTTACTAGAGTAAAAATTCTGCTAGTAGGGGCTGGAGAGATAGGACAGCTCAGGGTGCTTGCCTTACATGCATATGATCTGGGTTGGATTCTTGTCACCCCAGATGGTCCCCTGCACCTGGGTAAGAGTAATCCTTGAGCACAGAGCCTGGAATAACCCTGAACACCGCTGAGTGTGGCTCCAAAACAAACACAAAAATACACCAGTAGTAAAACTGAAAGTAATACTTATGATTAGTTCTTATATGTTGGTGTTAAGTTTCATTTGATTAGATATATAATAAGTCAACATTTATAGTTTGGAAAGAGGAAACAATAATAAAAAAATTAATTTTTATTTATTTATATTTTTGCTTTTAGGGGCACACCCAGCAATGCTCAGGGGTTACTCCTGGCTCTGCACTCAGGAATTCCTCCTGGTGGTGCTTGGGGGACCATATGGGGTGCTAGGGATCAAACCCAGGTCGTCTGGTGCAAGGCAAACGCCCTACCCACTGTACTATCACTCTGGCCCCAATGATAATTTTTTTTATCTCGTCATGAACAAATATTTAGTTTTCCAGTTTAGATTTCAAAATACATGCTTTTTAAAACCAGTCAGATTCTGAAACAAGCCTTCAGAAATCTGTCTTAAGGGCCAGAGAGATAGTAGAGCAGGGGGTTAGGTGCTTGCCTTGTATGCGACTGGGGGGTTCAGTACTGGGCACCCCATGCAGAAGAAAGCCCTGAGCACAGCTGAATGTGTGCTCCACTCATTCAATTTGTCAAATATGTCGGTACTTTCTCAAAGACTAGAGACATACTCTGTCACTGTCACCCCGTTGTTCATCGATTTGCTGGAGTGGGCCCAGTAATGTCTCCATTGTGACACTTACTACTGTGTTTGGCATATCAGATACATCACAGGTATCTTGCCAGGCTTTTCTCTGCGGGCGAGATACTCTTCCGTAGCTTGCTGGGCTCTTGGAGAGGGGCAGAGGAATCGAACCTGGGTTGGCTGAGTCGGCTGTGTGCAAGGCAAACACACTACCTGCTGTGCTATCGCTCCAGCCTAGAGACATACTCTTAATGCTAATAAAAGAGGATCAAGTTATATAATTCCTAGTCATATTTTGAAACATTCACAAAGCATTGTTAATTACATAATATATGAGAGTTTGTATTATTTTCATTTTATATGTTCATAAGAAATATGTTACTGGGAGTAGCGGAAAATGATTAAAAGGAGTAATGGAAGATGGTAATGATTAAGAATAGAAAAGAAATAATTTACTAAGACTTTCTCTTTTTTTTTTTTTAAGGGGAATTTCTAGAAAAGGTGCGACAGAAAAAAAAACGTGATATTACTGTTTTGGACCTGGGATGTGGTAAAGGTGGAGATTTGCTCAAGTGGAAAAAGGGAAGAATTAGCAAGCTAGTTTGTGCTGGTAAGATAAATAATGGCACATGGGGAAAGTGATACATATTCATTCAGGTAAAGGAGACAAATATGGATCTTATAATTTACATACTAGTCTACAACAGAAAACAGTTGGTTTTGTAACTGGTTTGAAATTTTAATGATAATGTTATATAGTTGGTAAGCCTGAATAACTCCTTCCTCTTAAAGGAGTTATTCAGATAGTCTATTGGACTATCCAAATCATGCCTAAAACATCTAGAGGACCCGAGAGATTTCTCAGCAAACTGAGAGCACAGGGAGACCTGGGTTTGCTTCCCAGGCACTGCATGGGCCCCTGAGCACTGCCACATGTGGCCAGAAGAATTTTTAAAACACAGACTTGAAAAAGACCTCCACTGGCCCAGAATAGGATAATTTCATTATCCAAAGAACAGGGTTATGGTGGATTGACACACAAAAGATAGGAGGAAATCTTAGTAATCATCTTTGATAGTTGACAGGAAATGTAAACATTCTGAAATTCTGAACTCAGAAAACATTCTCAAACTCAAGGTGTGGGTTATTGAGTTTATTTTCTACTCGTTTTGAAGAGTAATCAGATGGATAAAAAAGGGAAATTCCTCCTTGTTAAAAAATTATCATAAAAAATGCAAAGGGAATGATGGGGGGATCATTATTTCCACCTTTAATGAAATAATTGATATAATTATCATTAAAATGTCAAACCTGGGGCTGGAGCTATAGCACAGCGGGTAGAGCGTTTGCCTTGCATGCGACCGACCCAGATTCGATCCCCAGCATCCCATATGGTCCCCTGAGCACCACCAGGAGTAATTCCTAAGTGCAGAGCCAGAAGTAACCCCTGTGCATCGCCTGGTGTGACCCAAAAAGGAAAAAAAAATGTGAAACCTGCAGCCAGAGTGATGATATTCTGGTAAGGCGGAACCTTGTAATGCGGCTGACCTGGGTTCACTCCCCTGAGCACTACTACCAGGTATGGCCTGACCCCCTTTGCCCCCCCAAACAAAAGGTAGTCAAAACTGAACTGTTCGGCAAGTGTTGGTGAGGTGTCAACTGAATTAATCAAGCACCTTGAACAAAATAGTCTTAGCACAGGAGCAGTATGCTGTGTAATGGTGCATGTGTGTCACTACCTGTATTGTAGAACCTAAGTTGTCACTTCATAAATTCCTGGGCTATATAACCATTGTACACTGACAACTGGCCGAGAATCCCAGAAGCTTTTGTATGTAGTTTGATTTATTTATTATAGAAATTAAAAATGAGAATTGGAACTTTTAAAACTGGCCTTAAAAAAAAAAAAACACTAAATTTTCCCCTTTGATGAGGATCCCAAGCTAGAGATCGGAGACCATGGAGCTGTCAGGGTCTCCTCGGCAAGTGCAGTGGCACTAGTTTTGGACCAGAAGCCTGCACTTACCGGCAAATACTTGAAGTCACTGAGCTATCTTCCTTGCTGCCAGAAAAATTCTTTGGATTCTGTAATAATAGGAGAAAACTGATTCTCAAGTCTGTGCTTTTAGTATGTTTTATTTTGGTTTTTCTTTGGGCATTTAACATCTTAATCTGAAGGGATATTTTATAGCTAGGTATCCGGGGATAATATTCTTCAGTGCCCAATCAAAATTCAGTGGATAGTATTTTCTTAAGATTACTGAGAGTATGGAATCTGCAGCCATCGTGATAAGCTTTTTTTACGCCATTAATATTTAAATGCACTGATCTGTCCTGACCTTTGAACAGACCTTTGCTAGGCCAGATTTTGTAAATAAATGTATGGGGAGATACCTAGCCTTGGATTTTTTAGAATTGTAATTTTCTGCTGGAAAGCTTAAATTTTTCATTGGCAACAGATACTATCCATTGCTTTCCAGAAATTCCTTTTGTTCATTTTCAAAATATTCACCACATTACCAAATCTGAGTAACCAGTTTGTGTTTCTTTTATCAGAAAGTCGCCTGTGTACCTCATAATAGAAAAGAGTCACACCAGTCTTATTCCTTGCATTAACCATTGAACCTGATTATGCAGCAGAAATATTTTCCTTCCTGTTTTATTACACAAAATAGTAAAACCACAATCAAAAAGTATATGTAATAAAATATTTATTTTTTATATGACTATATGTCATTCTTAAATGATATGGCTCTGTTTTCATTGTAGTGGTGAAGAATATATGAGTATTATCAGTACCATGATCCTAATGTTTTTCCATCAGATGTGCAAATCTCATTGTAGGGGAAAAGTTATTTAAGATCTTTGAAAATTAACCTTGGTGTTGCCAAATAGGATGTAAAGTTAAGTTTTATAATTCAGATTAGAGTCTAAACTGTATTATTTACTGGTCATAAGCATTTAAAAATTGTATAAGAACTTTTCTTTGATTACTACCTATTGATGAGAAAGCTTTTAATGCTTTTTGAAAAGTGATAGAGCATTTGCATTGACTTTATTGTATTTTGAAAGAACCTTTTTGTTTGTTCTAAGGATATATTTCATGCCAGAAATTTTTAAGTCAGTGTAATTCATGTCAGTTAATGTCAATGACTGGGTCATTTTTTTGCATTTACATTTTGTTTCTGTAGGTCTTTTGACAATTACTAATACCTGTCCCCTTTCTAGATATTGCTGATGTCTCCATTAAACAGTGTCAACAGAGGTATGGTGAAATGAAGACTCGTAGTCGTGATAATGAATACATGTTCAGTACAGAATTTATAACTGCTGATTGTTCAAAGGTACATATTTTTGGTAAAATTTTCTCAATTTTTATATTTTTGAGTAAGTGATATAAAATTAGCTAATTAAAAATGTGTTAAGACATAAAATCATACAGCACACATTTTAGTTTTCAACTAGGAAATCTCTTATAATCAGTTTCCTAAAATTGGGAATTCCTTGGTTTTTAGCAATTTGATAGAGTTTTTACTCCTTTTTTGGTTTATTTTCCAGTATTTTGACACTGGAATTGAACTCCCAGTATGTCAGTATGTTCTGTGTGCTTTACAATTCATTAGTTTTTTCTCATCATATCAGAATCTCTTGTTTCCCACCTTCCACCTCATCCTGAATCTCTTTCACAACTATGAAGTTTAAGAACTATAGAGGCACTTGTTTGGTGAAAGTGTCACCATATGTTCTTTTTCAGAATTCTTCTGAAATACTACTAGCTATTATTATTCCAGACCTTTTTTTTTTTTTTTTTTTTTGCTTCTTGTGTCAACCCGGTGATATTTGGGGTTATTCCTGGCTCTGCACTTAGGAATCACTCCTGGTGGTGCTTGGGGAATCACATGAGATGCTGGGAATTGATCTGGGTTGGCTGTGTGCAAGGCAAACACCCTATCTGCTCATTTCAGACATCTTTAATTCTACATATTTTAATTCTACATAGAAACTATGCAATTTTGAAAGTGAGAAGGGAAAGTTTTGATAGGATAGTGCTAGAAAGTTAGGAACCTTTAAAGACAATGATTCTTTAAATAAAAACTGAAATTTAAAAAAAGAATTTGTTGTTTTGGTTTTGGGGCTACACCCGGCAGTGCTCAGGGGTTTCTCCTGACTCCACATCAGGAATCTCTCCTGCCGGGCTCAAGGGAACCATCTGGGATTCCTGGGATCAAACCCGGGTTGGCTACATGCAAGACAAGCACCTTACCCACTGTACTATCATTCTGGCCCCATGTTTTAAATTTATTTCTGGAGTTGGGAGTTATAATTGCTACATTGCACAATCATGCTTGTGTCACAAACTAGCTGCTACACTCGGTGATAGGGGGTAGTGCTGGGTAGTGAATGATGAGTTCTAGGCGTGCCAGGCAGACAGTTGCCCTGAAAGCTACATCCTTGGGCCTTCAACACCATGGCCTTATAGCCAAGGTTGTTACACAAAATTTATTGTAGCTTTGAAGTACTCTAGCCTTTCAAGTTTATAGTAAGGTCAACTCCTTTAAATCTATTTGATATTTTTAAAACCCAATACTTGTAAAGGATTGGAGATACCGTATAGCTGGTAGGGTGCTTGCCTTACATGTGGCCAACTCTGGTTCAGTCGGGGCACACATGTGGTCTCCTGAGTACCTTCAGGTGTGATCTTTGAGCACAGAACTAGGAATAAGCTCTTGAGCACTGCCGGAATGACCCCAAAACAAAATTAATATGAAAATAGAAATGAAACTTAAATAAAATGTTATTATATTACATACATACATGCTGATAATGCATGAGAGGACAGGGTTATGGGAAGACACGTCTAATTTTAGGACATTATTTCTAGAATTGAAGTCATTGAAAAATTGCACTCTGCTGTTATCTTCAAAACCTTAACTCATTGTTTCAGAAACTTTTGATGGATGACTTTCGTGACCCAGAAATGTCCTTTGACATCTGCAGTTGTCAGTTTGCCTTTCATTACTCATTTGAATCATATGAACAGGCTGACCTGATGCTCAGAAATGCTTGTGAAAGACTTAATCCTGGAGGTTATTTTATTGGTACTACTCCCAATAGCTTTGAACTGATGTAAGTATTTTCAATAAGTAGTTGTTTAAGACTTAGTATTAAACTTAATTTAAATTAGCTATTGTTTCCCAGAAATAGAATTTATATAAAACATGTAATGCTGCTCTTTACAAAGGCTGAGTACTTTGATAATGTACTTGAGCAGGTACTCAAATTCAGAAGACAGGTTTACAGGTAAATGTGTTAAACAGCAAAACCAAGGAATAGACAATCCCCAATGGAGACACACCTTGAGATTTTGCCAGCAAATGACACACTGAGGCCACAAGGACTTAAGTGGGGAGAAGGAACCTCGGGACTTGGTGCAGGGTTATTGATGTGGATGGTGCTGGGTGGAATAGTAGCTTTTTTAAAGTATGAGACTATAATACAGAAATGTGTAAACCAAGACCTTAGTAAAAATAACTGGGGTAGGAATGGGGGAGTATGTTAGTGAAACTGGTATTAGATTGAGCCAGAGTTTATATTGCTGAATAAATTGCAAATCAGATATTGAGGCAGTGGTTTAACCAGCATTTATCACATTCTTCCATTCTATTACTGTTACTTCCATTGTAATTTTCTAATTTTATCAGTGATGTTGTTAATGATCTCCTGGTATATGGCCCCTTAGAAGTAATTCAGATAAAATTATTTAAAAGTTCATTGAGAATGTCTCAAAAATTACACTTGTAATATTTTTAATGTGTGGTTTGATCAGATTAAGTTTGAGCTAATAACAGTTTTCATTTTTTCTTTTGGTTGGAAATAATCCTTAAGAAAACGTCTTGAAGCTTCAGAAACAGAGTCATTTGGAAATGAAATCTATACTGTGAAATTTCAAAAGAAAGGAGATTATCCTTTATTTGGCTGCAAATATGACTTCCACTTACATGGCGTTGTTGATGTTCCTGAGTTCCTGGTCTATTTTCCATTGTTAATTGAGTAAGAATATCTTTAAGCTGTTAACTGTTGTCTGTTTTACCTTATGAAAGAAAAGGAGTATTTTGAAAATTTCCAGTGATTTCTTATCTTAATTGGGATTTATCCAACTGTATGGTCAGAGAGAGGAGGAGGGACGTTTTTAGTACATTGTATTTGGGGGCTTAGTTAACAAAGTTAGTAGCTTATCTTTCAGTATAACCAAAAAGATAAGAGTAAAATGAATTTTTTTTTTTTTTTAATTTATTTATTGAATCACTGTGGGAAAGGTTACAAAGCTTTCAGGTTTATGTCTCAGTCATGCAAATATCAAACACATTTCCCTTTACCAATACTTATTTTTTCCCATGAAGAACCCCAATAAAACCCCACCCCCCACCCCTCCCCGTCCCTGTGAGGCAGATGAATTCTAGTTAACACTCTATCCGCTTTGATTAGATTGTTTCAATAAAAGATTCGCCACTATTATTTAGAGTTTACCCCCCCCCCCCCAACTCAGACATGCTGAAAAAGCATTGTGAAGTGATTTGCTTTCTACAGCTGGGTTCAAGAATTAAATGTTGGTTTTGGATTTCTGCTATTTTACCTATTGACCCTGGAAGTATTTCTACTGAAAGTCAGATAGTTAAGAAATTGGTTTCTGTGTTCTGGAGTCGTGGCCGTGCTGGAGAGCCGCTCGTGGGGGGCAACTGGTGGCCTCGGTAGGGCGTGAAGGGCGGAGCGAAACGCCCCCCTTCCCATGAGGTTTTAGTCGCCCCCACACTCCCGGCTCATACCTGCTGTCCACAAGGCTCCCATGTGGCCGCCATCTTTCTTTCCAGAGAGGAGAGGGCGAATGGGGCAACACCCTTTCCCCTCCGGCAGACTTGATGGGCTGGATCAACGCATAGTCCATTCACTTTTCTGCTCCAAGCTGCTGGGTTCTGCATTAAGTCCTTGTGCTTCTGGGGCCATGGCCGTGCTGGAGAGCCGCTCGCGGGGGGCGACTGGTGACCTCGGTAGGGCGTGAAGGACGGACCGGAACGCCCCCCGACCCATGAGGTTTTAGTCGCCCCCACTCCCCCGGCTCATACCTGCTGTCCACAAGGCTCCCATGTGGCCGCCATCTTTCTTTCCAGAGAGGAGAGGGCGAATGGGGCAACACCCTTTCCCCTCCGGCAGACTTGATGGCCTGGATCAATGCATAGTCCGTTCACTTTTCTGCTCCAAGCTGCTGGGTTCTGCATTAAGTCCTTGTGCTTCTGGGGCCGTGGCTGTGCTGGAGAGCCGCTCGTGGGGGGCAACTGGTGACCTCGGTAGGGCGTGAAGGACGGACCAGAACGCCCCCCTTCCCATGAGGTTTTAGTCGCCCCCACACCCCCGGCTCATACCCGCTGTCCACAAGGCTCCCATGTGGCCGCCATCTTTCTTTCCAGAGGGAGGAGGGCGGAAGGGAGCAACACCCTTTCCCCTCTGGGCAGAAATGATTGCCTGGATTAACGCATAGTCCTTTCACTTTTCTGCTCCAAGCTGCTGGGTTCTGCATTAAGCCCTTGTGCTTCTGGGGCTGTGGCCGTGCTGGAGAGCCGCTCGTGGGGGGCAACTGGTGACCTCGGTAGGGCGTGAAGGACGGACCGGAACGCCCCCCTTCCCATGAGGTTTTAGTCGCCCCCACACCCCCGGCTCATACCTGCTGTCCACAAGGCTCCCATGTGGCCGCCATCTTTCTTTCCAGAGAGGAGAGGGCGAATGGGGCAACACCCTTTCCCCTCCGGCAGACTTGATGGCCTGGGTCAATGCATAGTCCGTTCACTTTTCTGCTCCAAGCTGCTGGGTTCTGCATTAAGTCCTTGTGCTTCTGGGGCCGTGGCTGTGCTGGAGAGCCGCTCGTGGGGGGTGACTGGTGACCTCGGTAGGGCGTGAAGGACGGACCGGAACGCCCCCCTTCCCATGAGGTTTTAGTCGCCCCCACACCCCCGGCTCATACCTGCTGTCCACAAGGCTCCCATGTGGCCGCCATCTTTCTTTCCAGAGGGAGGAGGGCGGAAGGGAGCAACACCCTTTCCCCTCTGGGCAGAAATGATTGCCTGGATTAACGCATAGTCCTTTCACTTTTCTGCTCCAAGCTGCTGGGTTCTGCATTAAGCCCTTGTGCTTCTGGGGCTGTGGCCGTGCTGGAGAGCCGCTCGTGGGGGGCAACTGGTGACCTCGGTAGGGCGTGAAGGACGGACCGGAACGCCCCCCTTCCCATGAGGTTTTAGTCGCCCCCACACCCCCGGCTCATACCTGCTGTCCACAAGGCTCCCATGCGGCCGCCATCCTTCTCTCCAGAGAAGAGAGGGCGAATGGGGCAACACCCTTTCCCCTCCGGCAGACTTGATGGCCTGGATTAACGCATAGTGAATTTTTTTTTTAAATGCCAGGCTACCATGAAGTTTTTTCTACTTAAATTGTCAACTAATGTGTAAACTCAAGAGACAGTACTTCATTAGTTTTATTTGTTTTTGCTTTTGAACCACGCGTGGCAATGCTTAGGGATTACTCCTGGCTCTGCACTCAAGAATCACTCCTGGCAGGCCCACTGGATGATATTGGGTGCCTGGGGTCACACCAAGGTTGGCCCACATTGCAAGGCAAGCACCCTATCTGCTGTACTATTTTCTACCCTGGTTTCATTAGTTTTAAAAAGTAGGTTTTAAATATTAAAGCGTGTATTCAGCAATTGAAATAGAAACTAAAAAATGCTAGGCGGACTCTCTTTTTGGTGTTGGGGGGTTATTATTGGTATAGGCATTATTATTTTCTCATTTTACTCAGAACTTGAAAAGATAGTTAGCTTTTGTATGACAAACCTATTCAAATTGGTCACAAAGAGCCTGAGTGAGTTCTTTTAGTTCTATGGTAAATGTAAGAATTTTTGCCTTTTCCTTTTTTTTTCTTTTTTTTGTTTTGTTTTGTTTTGTTTTGAAGCCTCACCCAACAAAGTACACTGTACACTTTTGGCTCCCTATAAAGACTTATTAAGATTTATGATAGAAAATTAAGTGCCTGGAATAGAAGATAATTTATGAATATCTTCTAAGAAGGATTTGTTGAAATGTGGGAAGCCCAGCCTTTTACATAGAAATTCTGGCCCACAAATATTTTATTTCACCTTGTTCCTTTCTTTGTTACCTCAGAAGACTTCCCTGATACTCTCTCGAAGGTGGGTGGGGTGGGATATCCGTTAGTTCTCTCCTCATTACTGTTCTCTGAAATCATGCCCGGGTTTCCTCATGTTTACACCTAACGTAGTAACTGGCAGACCAAGTAGATGGGAAATGGGGTTTGGGGAATAAAAACCATCAGAGGGAGCCCTAACGTTACTGGAAATTAAATGTATTTACTACCTATAAAGAAGTAAATAATGAGTAGCAGGGGCTGGAGAGATAGGACAGTGGGTAAGGTGCTTGCCTTGCGTGTTGCTCACTTGGCTCAATCTCTGGGATCCCATAAGTGGTTTCACCAAGTACCACAGGAGTGATCCCTGAGCGCAGCCAGGAGTAAACCCTGTTCACCCCCAGATGTGGTTCAGAAACAAAAAGAGTGAGTAGGATTTGACGAAGACAGGAAGGAGGGATAATCAGGAATAAAGGACAGTCTGGCCCTAGAGTGGGAAAGAATTAAACGAAGGGAAACTACTGGGACTTTGGCATAGAAAAAATTAAGTGAATAAAGATGAGGCCCCTTTGCTAATGACTGCTGAGGAGGCCTGTGAAAGTCATAGGACTTATTTCCGAAGAGGTCTGGAGAGCCAGTGCAGGTTGTAAAGAAGGCTATCACAGCCAGGTTTGCATGCTTGAAATACATATTGGCTGCACTCAGAAAATTCCTTGAGAGAGTAAGACTGTAAACAAAATGAGTGCTATCACTGAAAAGAGAGAATGGTCAAGAACCCAATGAATTGAAGTGTTGGACAAAAGGCAGACAAAAGTAAGGAAGTTGGCATGAAAAAACTTAAGGTTTGGGGCATGAATCCACTAAATGGGTTTACTGAAATCGCAAGAATTACTAAAGGCAGATCAAACCTCCATTGTTGGACCTCAGTTAAGGGACATTAGAGAATGTCCGTGACATCCTGATGATTTCTAGTAATCAGTGGGATAAGTCATTGACAAAAGGAAAAACTTGAGATGGGATTAGATGCTGGCATACTATTTAAATTTACCCTGGAGAATAAAAATTGGTAAAGCTCCAAGCATCCCCCAAAGTAGGACAAAAATAGTCTATCTTCTCAAATAATGAAACAAATGCAGAAGATCGGCACATAGCACTCCCAGCAATGCTCAGGGTTTACTCCTGGCTCTGAGCTCAGTGATAACTTTTTGTGGTGCTTAGGGGCTTCATCCCTGAAAAAGATTATTTTGAGAAGGACATTGACTGTTGTTTTCATTGCCATTAAGGATCAGGTTAGATGGAAATCAGTAGAAGTGCTTTTCATAGTTCTTCTTCCCCATCTTAGAGCTTTTCATGATAACTTACTGTATTCACAGATCATATCTGTAGCCTGTGGAGACTGATTACATGTTCCCTTACATATATAGCTATTGGTATATTGCTCCTTATTCATTTGCACCATTCTACTGAGTTTACAAAGGAGATAACTATTTTTTAGTGAATCCCAGAAGATGTCATTGTTGTATGACTGTAAATTGTTGGGGAATGAGAATGATTTTGGAAGCCTTTTTATTAAGTAATCTTTTTCTTGAGACAGAATGGCAAAGAAGTATAATATGAAAGTAGTCTATAAGAAGACGTTTCTGGAATTCTATAAAGAAAAGATTAAGAACAACGAAAACAAAATGCTTTTGAAACGCATGCAGGCCCTGGAGGTAAGTATTTTTAAAAAGTTTAAACATTCCAGTTTGTGGTTACCCTGTTTAGCTGTTTTCTGAAATTTTTTTCAAAGCCATATAGACTCTGTGTTTATGTAAATTACATGGACTGTTTATCAGTACTCTAGAATCTTAAGTATCTAGGACAGAACTTAGTACAAAAGCTTTCGGTGGTGGATACCAAGTAAAATACTTGATGGAGCGGTTAGTGTGGTCATCAAATTCTATTTTCTCAATCACGCTACTTTAAAATGGGGTTTCTCACTCAGGGCTATAGACCTTTCCAGCTACTAGGGTGGGTGGGCCATGGTCAGTAATGTCCTCAATCCTATCCACTGGGTACTAGGAGTTCCCCAGCTCTTAACTGTGACAACCAAAAATATCTCTAGATACCTACTCGGGTGCTGATCTATCTCCAGCTATGAACCACTTCTTTACAATCTAACCACTGTGGTTATAGTAATAATTTAGAACCATCTTGACCAACATCCAGACCAAGTTCATGACATGTAATTTTGTTCCTTAATTGTCGAGCCTTAAGACTTTCAGAATATATTGATGCTGGAAATGGCTTAAGTCTAGACTTCTCTCTCCTCCCTGTAGTGCAACGTTCAAGGTAGTTTATATAAGGTACAGTTCAGTATGTAGCTATTGAATAGTTTTCCTTATGCTCTTTTTTTTATTGGACTGATCTTAAAGTCACTGAACATTTTCTTAGTCACTTGTAGACTTTGTTAATCAGAACATTAAATTATGTATTCTGTTGAGAGTATTTCTAAAGTATTAAAGCATTATCACTATCTTCATAATCATCCCAGCAGCCACTTTTTTTTGGGGGGTCGTGCTGGAGACCAAACCCAGCGCCTCCTGTATGAAAAAGGAATGCACTCTACCACCAACCTTTCATTTTTTTTTTTTTATTTATTTATTGAATCACTGTGGGAAAGGTTACAAAGCTTTCAGGTTTATGTCTCAGTCATGCAAATATCAAACACATTTCCCTTTACCAATACTTATTTTTTACCATGAAGAACCCCAATAAAACCCCACCCCCACCCCTCCCTGTCCCTGTGAGGCAGATGAATTCTAGTTAACACTATCTGCTTTGATTAGATTCATTGTTTCAATAAAAGATTCACCACTATTATTTAGAGTTTACCCCCCCCCAAAATCAGACATGCTGAAAAAGCATTGTGAAGTGATTTGCTTTCTACAGCTGGGTTCAAGAATTAAATGTTGGTTTTGGATTTCTGCTATTTTACCTATTGACCCTGGAAGTATTTCTACTGAAAGTCAGATAGTTAAGAAATTGGTTTCTGTGTTCTGGAGTCGTGGCCGTGCTGGAGAGCCACTCGTGGGGGCAACTGGTGGCCTCGGTAGGGCGTGAAGGGCGAACCGAAACGCCCCCCTTCCCATGAGGTTTTAGTTGCCCCCACACTCCCGGCTCATACCTGCTGTCCACAAGGCTCACATGTGGCCGCCATCTTTCTTTCCAGAGAGGAGAGGGCGAATGGGGCAACACCCTTTCCCCTCCGGCAGACTTGATGGCCTGGATCAACGCATAGTCCGTTCACTTTTCTGCTCCAAGCTGCTGGGTTCTGCATTAAGTCCTTGAACCTTCCATATTTTAAAATGGTAATCTGAGACATGGAGGATAAGTTACATTTTCAAAGTTATGTGGTTTTTTTTTCTTTTTTATAAATTTATTTATTGAATCACTGTGAGAGCAGCTGCAAAGCTTTCAGGTTTAAGTCTCTGTCATACAATGATGAAACACTCGTCCCTTGACCAGTGCCCATTTTCTACCACCAAAAACCCCAATATGCCCTCCTTCCCACACCCTCTCCCCTACCTGTGGGGCAGATGATTTTCACATTACTCTCTCTCTACTTTGATTACATTTGATATTTTGACACCAGACACACCATTATTATTTGGGATTTTACCCCAGCACTCAGATCTGCCGAAAAGGCAACTGTAGACAATTTGTTTTCTATTGCTGATTATGAATAACATGATGTCGTGCAGCCGCAGTAGTGGCCGCACCATTTTGGAATTCTGAAATTAAATCTGGAGGGATTTCTGCCAAAACCTTCTGGGTTCCGAGATTTGTTCCTGAGTCTCTGGGATAATGACCGTTACACGGCTTGCTCAGGAGCCAGAGAGGCTGTTTGGGCTGTGACTTGGGGTCTCGTTGGGGTGGGAAGGAAAGGGCTGGCTCCACCGCATCCCGTGAGGCCCCTGCATGTCTCATCCCTGCAGGCTCAAACTTGACTGTCCAGTGGCCTGTGGGGGATGGCGGCCACTGAGGGGGAGCAGGCAGAGAGACAACCTTTTATCCTCTACTGCAGGGTCCAGACATATTTCTGCCAAAAGCCGCTGGGTTCTAAGATTTGTTTCTGAGTCTGGGATCATGGCCATTAAAGCAGCTTGATCAGGAGCCAGAGAGACCGTCTGTGGGTGGCGACTCAAGGTGTCTTTGGGCAGGGAAGAAATGACCTGCTCCACCCCCATCTTTTGAGGCCCTGTGTCTTGTCACTGCGGGCCCAGACCTGACTCTCCAGTGGCCTCTGGAGGATCGCGGCCAACGAGCCGCCAAGGGGAATAGGCCAAGGCACGCACGAAACCTATTCCCGCCTGGGGTGGCCTGGTGCTGGTAACCTACTGCAGGGGCTGGATGCATTTCTGCCAAAAGCCGCTGGGTTCCGAGGTTTGTTTCTGAGTCTCTTGGATCATGGCCGTTAAATAGCTTGATCAGGCCTGAGAGGCCATTTGTGGGCAGCCACTCAGGGTCTCATTGGGGTGGGGAAGAAAGGGCCATCTCCACCCTCATCCTATGAGGCCTCGCATGTCTTGTCACTGTGGGCCCGAACCTGACTGTCCAATGGCCTCTGGAATATGGCAGCCACCGAGCTGCCAAGGGGGAGCAGGCAGAGGGACAACACCCTTTATCCCCTGGGGAGGCCCTGCACTGGTAATGTACGGTGGGGACCGGACACATTTCTGCCAAAAGCCACTGAGTTCTGAGATTTGTTTCTGAGCCTCTGGGATCATGGCTGTTAAGCAGTTTGATCAGGAACTAGAGAGGCCTTGCCTCCAATTATATAGCTGAGCCGGAGGTGGTTTGTGGGTGTGTCTCCCACATACCTAACTTTTGGCCGTTTACTTTCTTGGTAAACTTTGCCCCAAGTTTTTGGGTTTGGCCAAAGGCACTGCAGCAATTCTGGGGTATCCGGAAGTCTGAAGGCACCATCAGGCTGCTGATGCACTTGCCTCACAGGCACAGATTGACCTGCTGGTGGCACCATACCACAATCAAACTTAAGTGGTTATTAAGTTTCAAATTTTCTTCAGTCTTTGGGGGGTTTTTTGGTTTTTGTTTTCAGACTTTTTGTAGATGGTATTCAAGCAGTCTGTTGGATCCATACAACCAATTTTGATTGAATATTTAACTGATGAATTTTCTTTTGAAGCAAGTGGTCACTTAAATTTGTTATTTGGTTTTTATTATGTATTTGAATAGAACGTTTGTTTTTGCTTCTGTATGAGGAGAGGCTTATGTTTTATTTCAAGGGAAAGAATAAAACTAGGGAAAGCATACATAAATCATTGCACATATGTATGCCTTTAGTACATCATCCTTGGTGTTGTTCTGTGTGTCCAATTATTATAGTTATTTATATTTTCACTTAGTATGTAGGTGGTGAATTCCTTTTTGTAATCTATTTCTGCACTCAGGAATTGCTCCTGGTGGTGCTCAGGGGACCCTATGGGATGCTGAAAATCGAACCCAGGTTTGCTGTACACAAAGCAAGTGCCTAGTCCACTATGTCTCCAACCTCTGGACAGTGACTTTAAATTATTCGCTACTGTATACAGGGAATTCAGTTCCACAGGGAGCTGGAGCAATAGCACAGTGGGTAGGGCATTTGCGTTGCGTGCGGCCAACCCAGGTTCAATTCCTCCCTCTTTCTCGGAGAGCCTGGCAAGCTACCAAGAGTATCCCACCCGCACAGCAGAGTCTGGCAAGCTCCCCATGGCGTGTTCAATATGCCAAAAACAATAACAAGTCTCACAATGGAGATGTTACTGGTGCTTGCTCGAGCAAATCAATGAACAATGGGAGGACAGTGTTACAGTGCTAATCTATTTAAAAATATATGTAGATAGTGTGATAATGGTCTCTTTCCAGGCTTCCATTGGTTCATTGAGTTGATAAACATAGTATAAATAATTGAGTAGAACATGCTCAAATAAAGAGTTTTGTTTGTTTTTTGATATTACCTCCCTTCAGCTTTGTATTGTAATAGGGAAAAACTTTGTACTCAGGAAGATGCAAATACTTCTTGCTAAGTGGTCTTTGGTGTGGTTAAATAATGATGAGTGCAGGCTGTGCTGTCGGTACTGCCCCTATTTTTGGCCATACCTGGTTGAGCTTGGGAGTTACATCTCTCTAGCCTAGAGAGTCATTCCCTCTGGTGGTAGAGGGACCACATGGTGTTGACTATTAAACCCAGACTTGTCACATGTAAAGCATACACTCAGCCCATTGCAGAAGTGATGACCAAAGTTCTCTTTCATATTGACTATACTTTGAGGATTTCCTCCATACGTTTTCTTTTTTGCATATTTCTTAATTTGTATAGATTCCTGTGCCATTGCATAGGAATATTTGTCTTGATTTCTACCAGTAATTTAGTATGCTTACATTTCTGTCTTTCCCATCCTTCCTTCCCTTTATTGTTGAGAGGACAGGTTCCCACACATGTGTGGCTATAGTGCTTGCTGGAGGCTACATATCTGGCTGCAGTGCTCACACACTGATTCATGTTCTTGACCTTGGACTGAGACTTGTGGTTGCATTGCCTGCATCTGTGCTGGGAGTTGTGATGTTCACACACATTCTGGTTAACATGCTCACTGTGGTGCTTGCACACAGTCTTGCCAGAGTGACGTTACTCAGCACTTGCCAGGGTTCATGCATCCCAACTGTGATATCCACATGTGGCTGTGGCACACCAGAGACCACATACTTGTTACAGCACTGGGGGTCTCAGGCAGCAGTCGCACATGAGTGGGTGACCCTGGGTAGAAATGAGAGTTGGGCCTCAGGCCTCGAGCCTGTGCTGCCAGTGCTCTTTTCACTGAAGTTGCTCTGAATTCAATGCATATAATGTCTTTCAAAATTTCTCTCAATTTTCTAGGCATTTTCTGCAAATGAAAATTCAAAACAGATCTCTGAGAAGGTAGATGACTATCGACATGCAACAGACTACATGAAGAATGGTCAAGTAAGGTTACCTCTGGTAAGTTTTCATTTGTATGTTTAATTAGAAAGGGAGTGGGGAAGCATATATTACGTGGAAACTTGGGATATTATTTCACTGTCTTATGGTGCTGAGGGTTACCAAGTTCCATATCACATATACATTAGTGTGTTTCCCCTAATTTAAGACTTTTATGACATAGAAGAAAACGTCTTTCAGTGAGCAGTGTGGACTGCTATATTTGAAACAGAGGGATGGAGGAAACTTTATAGTCTTCATTTGAAAGTTTCTTGTATTTTAACCAGGAGCTATTGACTTTACAAGTGCCCCATAAATATATTGAGGTGATCATAAAGTTATATGGGGAGAAAATCACTTTTTTTGTTTTTGGGGGGGGTGAATGGGGGATGGTCCACACCTGGCAGTGCTTAAGGGTCACTCCTAGCAGAGTTGATAGGAACTTTTGTGTTGTCAGGGATAGAACCAGGGTCAGCTACATGCAGGGCAAGTGCCTTCGTCTCTGTACCATCTCTCTAACTCCTTATTCTTACTTTCATGTGAAAGTTCATACTTTCAGTATAACTATAACAAAATCACATTGGTATGGAAATGCAATTTTATCATCAATAAAAATGACACACATTTACTTTCCACATTCTGGCAGTTTAGAATGTTTATACGTATCAGTTTTCCAAAATTAAATCAAACGCTAGCATTGCCAAAATTTTACTGTATTAGTAAATAGCGTATCTATGTCAGAATTTTTTTTTTATTACTTGGTGTAGTAGTTATTTCTTTAGTATGATTATAATTCTATGACTCCTTTGTAAAGCCCAATAATCTTTCACTTGCCTACAGATCTATTTAATGTTTTAAGACAGGACTTTTAATTTTTATTTTCTTATTCCAAGTTACACAAATGCCCTCTGTTCTAATTCCCCCTTTGAGAAAGTGTGAGAGATGAGGGTGGAAATGTTGAGAATTGACCCTTATGGGTTAATCTTGTGTAAAAGGCTGATTTCTTTCATGTTCTGGTCCCAAAATAGCAGTAAATAATATTTTAGGGAAGTTAGGATTATATGGGGACATGCTCTTTCATATTCAATGTAAAATTTTCTGTTTTTCTTTTTTTTAATTAGGGAACATTAAGTAACTCAGAATGGGAAGCTACAAGTGAGTATATCATCATTATAGATTTACTGATATTTCCAGTGATTTTTTTCAGTGATCATTAAAATTGAAAATTTGTGAATTTTTCTGACATCCTGAAACTGTATGTCTGTGTACTTAAATTTTCACAAAGATCCTGTGTCTGCTCCCATTTTGCATAGCTGCTTAGTTCCAGTAAATAGTGTGTGAAGGGCATTGTTTAAAGTTTGTATTAAAATTTTTTCATTGCTTGCTACTACATGGCCACCTTCAATAGGTTTCCGTACTTCAGACTTCTACTGGAAATTTTCTTATGAACTTTTTATTTATGTTACTGTTATACACAGAATACTCTCAAAGGGCATTGAGAGGAGCTGGAGTGGGTAGGGCGTTACTACATTGTTGTGCATTTACTTGGAGGGGCACAGCAGGTAGGACGTTACTACATTGTAGTGCATTTATATGACCTATTCTACTTCATTCCAGGTTAAAAAAGAATCAAATAATACAGTTTGGGTGTGCTTTTTGTTTGTTTTGTTTTTAGTTTTCTCAGCTCAGACTGTTTCATACATAGAAGAAATTTTGCGTTAACTTAAAGGTATGGGATCTGATATTTCCTTAAAATGAGATGAAGTAATTGAGAAACTCGAGTATAGTGGAATTTTTTCTTTTAAAAAGCTGTTTGACAAGTAAGAGTCCCCAGATTACAAACAGGAGTGGTTTTATTTACACTGAGGATATATGAAACCAAACCCTTAACCTGCATTTATTTTCTTTCTAGGTATTTACTTGGTTTTTGCGTTTGAGAAGCAGCAGTGAGCACATGTTCAATATCATCAGAACAGCTATTTCATTTTTTCCAGATTTAAATGATTCATCTGAAGTAGACTTGACAACTTTTCTGTTGGTGTTAATTATTGTAAATCTACAGGATGCTGCCGGGAAACCCTAGTGTATAAATTCAACATTTGCTGTGAGAGATGAACTTTGGTGTGTGGTAGAGAGTTGGGACCTTCATTGTTAGAAGTCTTCTTTTTTTTTTTTTAAAGTATTGTAAAAGGATCCATTTGCCGCTACTTTTCTTATTAGCTCATAAAATTTATAACGTGAAAGCTGCTGAACTCTCTGCAGTGCTCTGATTTGTTCAATTTTTTTTGTAGTCAAATTTATTGCCGTAGTAGAATTGATGAAGTATAGCGGTCTTCAGATGTGTTTACCCATTTTATAGTGTTTGTTACAGTGTTTTTCAAGGTTAAATGGACTGTATTCTGTGTAATTTGGTGCAGTCATATTTTAGCATGTGTATTGCTAAAATTTGAAACTAAAGTGTGGATGTCATAAGTTATTTGCCTTGTTTCTAGTCAATTTTTAATATTTCATTACAAATAACTCCTTTTATTTGCTAACATGATGCAGTTCTGGAACTGGATAAAAGACTTAGATGCAAACATGGAATTGTTTTAAATGATGACCGTTTTTTAAAGGAATTTTTTATTGTAGTTATTAATAATTGTAATTAACAAAAATGTATAGTTGCCCTTCTTCATTCAACAGAAATGCCATAGTTGTTTTGCTCAGTATTTAGTGAGAAACCCTGTAAATTCATTACATACATTCATTTGATTCATGGAACAGCTTGGGAGGGTCTGACTGTACAGGAAACTGACAGATAAACTACAGATTACTTCTCTCAAGTGTTAGAAGTAAGTTCCTGGTACTACATGCTATTAGATCTGTTGCTCTTGATCTTTTTATTGCCTTCAACCAAAATGTATCCATATCTGTACCTCTTGATCCAAACACAACCCAAAAGTAGTTTGAGCAATTGGAGCCAGCATCTCAACACCACTTAGAATTTGTATTTACCTTGGGGCTGGAGCAATAGCACAGCGGGTAGGGTGTTTGCCTTGCATGTGGCCGGCCCGGGTTCAATTCCTAGCATCCCATATGGTCCCCTGAGCATCGCCAGGAATAATTCCTGAGTGCAGAGCCTGGAGTAACCCCTGTGCATCGCCGGATGTGACCCAAAAAGCAAAAAAAAAAAAAAAAAAAAAAAAGAAAATTGTATTTACCATTTCAGAACTGTAAAGAATTGTTAGCCTTGACTTGTCAACTCTTCAAACAAGACACCAGGACACCTGGGTAAACTGTTGTCTTTCTTTTACGTCACCATGTATTATGTGTGCCAGTCTTTAGATGTAGTGAAAAAGGCAGAGCAGTTATTGCATATTCTTTCAAAATTGGTTTCATTATTTAATGCATGGTTTAAAAAGACTTCCTATAACTAATGTACTGTTCAAAAATTACAGTCTATTTATATTATTGTTCATAGTGTTAGAGTTACAAATGTTAAGAGAACACTGGTTGCCTAATTTCTATTCCTTTGCTACAGTTAGGCTAGTAAACAGTTCACGAGAAGTATTTTTGATTTTGTAGTAGTTTGACATAGGAATTTGGGGAAATAATTGACAGGTTTGAATTTCACATTTTAGTACAAGTACTCTGTTAATGACTAGACCTTTACCTGAATCAAATTTAGTCAATGATTGGTGGTGGTGGTGGTAGTAGTAGTAGTAGGGATGTGTGTGTGTGTGTGTGTGTGTGTGTGTGTGTGTGTGTGTGTGTTGGAGATGCGGGCGATGAGGGGGCCAGGGAGACACCTCTCTATGCAGCAGATTCAAGAGTTGAAAGTACAGGTATGAAAGAGTAGCTAAGAAGGGAGCCTAGAGAGTGAAAAAAAGGAATTGTTTCTCTAATCAGAACTGATAAGCAAGGCAGAGGCAACTCATTTTGTTTTAACTTTCTGTTGGCATATACATAGACACACACACACGTATATACACGTATGTATAAGCAATTCAGTGGGGTTTTTTTCCCCCCCAGAAATGGAAAATAATGTGTAAAGTCAAATCCAGTTAATCAAAACATTTCCAGCATCCAGAAAATGCCTTTCTGCTCCCTTCTAGTTACTACCTCCCTCTGGTAACCACTATGCTGGCTTCTAAGCATTTATTATTTTTGTTTATTTTTTGCACATTAATATTAATGGAATCGAACAATATGTATTCGGTATGTCTTTTGCCCATCATTATGTTTGTGAGATTTTTTTTATGCATGTATATGTACAAGGTTCTTAATGGCTGTATAGTATTCCGTTATGTAAATATACCACATTTGCCCAATGGATGTTTGCTTCATTTCCTCTTTGGGAACTTCTATTTATAGTCATGCTTCAAGTGTTCTGTATGCAGACAGGTTGGTACACATTTCTGCGTAAGAGTGGCATCAAAGTGTCCCTATGCTAATGTGTTTGACCTTACTGGTTAATGACTGTTTCTAAAATTTCTAATTGCCCCATGTTTCTGCCAACACTCAGTCATATCAGTCTTTTCAGTTTATTCTTGCTGCCATGTCATGGTATTATTGTAACTTTGTTTTACTTGTTACATGCCTCTTTTTGCTTTTGTTCTCTTGTGAAATATCCACATTCTCCCCATTTCTCTGCGAAGTAGACTTTTTTATTTGCTGTTTTTTGAAAAAATTACTCTGTACACAAGTCCTTTTGTTGATTGTATTGTGTTATAGGAATATATTTGATTAAAAAAACCTCTTGTTGGAGTCAAGATGGCCAAGAAGAAACAGTACTGTGGTACCTCTTGGGGTACCAGGACAAAGACCACACAAAACTATGCAGCACAGAAGCCTGCGGGGAAAATTACTCAAAACCCACTAAGAAAACACTAAGAAAGTTCCTGGAATTGTAGATAAACACTATAAGGAGATTTTCAAATGATCGCAAACACTTGGCTCTGGGTTATAGAACTGAAAACTCCATTTAGGTGGGGCAAGGTTGAGGTGGATTGGTATGATATTAAGTCATTGGTGGATCATTTGGGACACTTTACTGGGATGAGGTGAGGTGGGTATATCAAAACTGTAAGCATTAGCACAGTTGCAAACATGACCCAAACTACAAAGATTTGTAATTTAAATGAATTTTCCATTCAGGTGAATAGGAGGGCCCTTGAGGCTGGTAGAGGGACACTTATGGTGGTGGGTGCCTGGAACACTGTTCACCTGAAACTTTATTAGCAATATTTAAATCCTGGTTCCCAAATAAACAGAAGAAAAGAGGTAGGGAGAGGAGTTGACCACACATTTTGCCAAGAGGGTATATGGGTGCCCAGTAGGAAAATTATTCATTTTTATTATTAGGGAAATGCAAAACCGCAAGAATATAGTTCACACCGGTGAGAATGGCATATATCAAGAATAGAAAACGTTGGTGGGGATGTCAAAAGGATGTCTCAGTATGCAGTATCTGATTCAGCATCTACGGACAAGTCTCATTTCTCAAAGGAACTGAGCTTCCACATGATCCAGCAATCCATGGCATCTACCCCCAAACACAAACTTCCGAAAGATACATGTCAACTTATATTCATTGCAGCACTGAATCCAGTAGCCAAAATGTGAAAACAAAATATCCAACAACTGGCAGAAGTTGTGACATATAGGCAGAATGGAATGCCATGCAGCTGTGAGAAAAGGTAAGATCCTCAGCTGACTGCCGCAATGTGAATGGAAACGGTGTCCTGTTAAGTGAAATAAGTTCAAGGGAGGACAAATACTGGATGCGCTCATCTGTGACATAGTGAAAAAACAGTGAAAACTGCCTCTGTTTTATGAACAGTGATGTGCTTGACCTTGGATTACAAAGCTCAGACGGTCAAGCAATGGGAGAAAGTAGACGGAGGTGATGAAGAAATACCAACAGTGGGAGAGTGTCTTGGTCAGTTTGGTGGTGGGGAAGTACGGTCATGGTCATGGTCCTCCCGTTGTTCATCGATTTGCTCGAGCGGGCCCAGTAACATTGTGAGACTTGTTACTGTGTTTGGCATATCGAATACATCACAGGTCGCTTGCCAGGCTCTGCCATGCGGGCGAGATACTCTCGGTAGCTTGCCGGGCTCTCTAAGAGGGGCGGAGGAATCGAACTCGGGTCGGCCATGTTGGCCGCTTGTAAGGCAAACGCCCTACCACTGTGCTATCGCTCTAGCCCTAGAGGGGAAGTACAGTAACTATATCAAATCCGTAAACAATATGCTACCTAAACTATGTCGTCAACAAAAAACTCAAACTCGGAAAAAAGTAAGCTTGTGTGTGGGCTTTATGGTGCTGGGGATTACCTGGGTCACCCTGGCACTTTAGGGGGACATTGAGTACTGTACCAGTGAAGCGTGAGGGAATGTGGCATGGGAAATCAAGGTGGGCGTGGAAGACCTGCACCTTAACTTCCTTTGGTGACAAAGTATTCTGGTCCCCAAAGCCTCAAAATGGTGGAAGTGACTCCAAAAAGAAATAGGAAATGAATTGCAAAGACATTAGGAATGGTGTCGGCAATCATGGTTGGCATAAAAACACTTGTTTTGTTTCTCACCTTTAATCTGCAACTTACAGAACAACTATAGATGAAGGTGTCCCTCAGCTTTTGCTGGGCCATGGAAGCAATCGCTTGTCTGTGTGTAAGGATGAGTGATGGAGATGAAAGCCTAAGAGAAGCAGAGATGACTGGTCTGCGACTCCACAGGCATCGGGATAAGAGATGGAGGTGGCATTGAGACATCCCCTTTCAGTCCAAGTGAATTCCAAGGTGGTAGAAGTGAGACTTTTCAGAGCAGGCAGGAGCCAGCAAGAAGGGCACCAGAGGAGTGTGTGACCCAACCCCCCTTAACCCCAGTCCCCAAGAACCAGGGTGTATCAGCAATGCTGACTCAGATCTGGGACTCCCAGGAGGAAAGGCAGCAGTGGTTTGGCATATGCAAACCAAGCCTCAACCTCTCCATCTACTATAGTAGGTAAAACCCTTCACATTTTTTATTGTCTGCTGACAACAGCAGTGGCTGTAATTGGCATTTTGAATGGCGATTTCTGAATACTGAATTCTGCAGTATTGCAGCAGCAATGTTGGGCAGTGATTTAAAAACAAAAAAAAAAATACCAACAAAACCCCATAAAACCTAAGCTATAGCACCATCTACTGACAGAAGGCATCTAATTATTAAACTAGAACATAAGCAAACAAGTGACCAAATGGCGTAAGATATGCCAGATGTCCATAAACAACTTGGGACCTTAAGATAACATGACTTCACAAAGAGAGAATGGCCATTACCCAGAAAACAAAGACATGGAAAGCTAAAATAGTTATGATAGAAACTCAGAGGTACTAGGAAATTAAAAGGGCAAATTCAGTGATAGAATTAATCATTAGAAATACTTTCCTATGGGATATATTATAAAAGGAATTCTGTGGTTGGGGAACTAGATCAGCATTCAGGAGCATGCTTCTTTACAGAAAAACCTGAATTCAGTGGTACCACATGTTTCCCCCTGCAGAGGGTATGTTGAAACTGTAATTAAAATTCTCCCCAAAAGAAATTGTCTGCCATAGAGACAGAGGGAGGGCTGGAAAGGGAGGGTATACTGGGGACATTGGTGGAGTATGTGCACTGGTGGAGGGATGGGTGTTTAATCATTTTATGATTGAAATTCAAACGAAAGTTTTGTAACTATCTCACGGTGAGGGAGCCACAGCGATAGTACAGCGGGTAGGGCATTTGCCTTGCATGCGGCTGACCCGGGTTCAATTCCTGGCATCCCATGTGGTTCCCCAAGCACCGCCAGGAGTAATTTCTGAATGCAAAGCCAGGAGTAACCCCTGAGCATAGCTGGGTGTGACCCACAAAGCAAAAAATATATATATATTTTACAGTGATTCAATTAAAAAAAATTTAAATTCTCCCCAAGAACAAAACCCTTGATCTAGACAGGTTCACTGGTGAGTTTTATCAGACCTTCAAAGAAGATTCATATTCCTTTAAGTTCTAAAATATCAAAGATACTGCTAATTCCACAGTTTTTCTGAAGCCAGCATTACACAAATATCCAAAGCATTGAAATACTACTAACAAGAGAAGTGTTCAGATGAATAGTGTTGATAAACATGGATGCATTGAACATGGATGCAAAAATCCTCAACAAAATCTCAGCAAGCCAACTTGGGGTCAGGCTGCCAGGGTCTAAACCCCACTTCTTTGCAGCATTGGGCCCTGAGTTTGCTATGTAACCACTCTCTGAACCACTCTATGTAACCACCCACTTTCGGGACTTCAAAGATTAAGAAAGTAACTCAGGCACTGTAGCCACAATAGGAACTGAGTGCTCCCTCAGACCAGTATAAACAACAAGCATTGCATTCCATATGTCCGCTCAGTGTCTCTTTTTTCTTTTTGGGTCACATCCAACGATGCACAGGGGTTACTCCTGGCTCTACACTCAGGAATTACTCCTGGCGGTGTTCAGGGGACCATGTGGGATGCTGGGAATTGAACCCAGGTTGGCCGCATGCAAGGCAAATGCTCTACCCGCTGTGCTATTGCTCCAGCCCCTGCTCAGTGACTTTTAACAGACTCCACCTTAATCACGTTATGATAAGCTAAGGTCATCTGCAGAGCTCTCTCTGAACTGGAATATAAGGAGAAAATAGGGAACCCTTGCGTCTTCATGACTTGCCAGCCATTCCCTTTGTGTACTATTCTCCACATAATGATTCTCTTGGTCTTCCAAGACTATGGTCTCACTTGCATATGTTAGCAAGATGGGTTTAATTAGACATAAATCCCACACCCCATCTCTGGATAGAAAAGCTTCCCTATATACTTTAGCCCCATATACTTTAGCCCCGCGTTGCCTCGAAATCACTGTGTTATGTTATAAAGAAGGATATTTTTTGAGGCTGAAGATAAGTGATTTAGGCATCAGAGAAATAGAAGTTCCAGAAATCATTCCCCAAATCAGAATACTAGGTCAAGAAAGTGTCTTCTTGCCATTTTGCTTCAGTAATGAGAGCATCTTTATGATTTTAGGCATGGCATGACAGACGTGGTTCTTGTGCAGGAATCAAAGTTGGGCTAATCAAAAGTGTACGTCAAGGTGCGAGATGACAACTTTCCAAGCTCTGAGATTTCTTGAGGAAACTCCAAAGTTTCCTGAGATTAGATGTCTGTGTATTCATGACTGGCATCTAGGAAAGAAGGGCTGAGGAGAGTTCAGAGCAGCTGAGCAAACAACATTGTCACAGAACATTGGACGACGAGAAAGGAAGCAAAGTTTAAAAGAACAAGTTAGAAAACCATCTGAACACACTTTAGGAGGATATCCCACAGACTGAAAAGGCTGGGCTGTGCTTCTATGGAGCTCGCTCTCTGTGATAACCCACATCGAACATTTTCTTCTGTTTGTCCTCGGAGCAGGGCCAGGTCATGCTCTACATCTCTGGGCCACTAGGTGGTACCTGAGACCTGTTTTGGGCAAACAGCAAGAAGAGGAGGGGACAGATTCCCATTCTGGGAGGTGGAGGCAGTGATTGAGAGCCGAGTTGCAACACTGCATAAAAGCAAAGGAGCAAGGCTGAGGGTCAATCCGCCTTTTCCTGGGTGTGGAGGAACCCAGGTCCCAGGGTAATGGCATTTAGCTCCAGACAGACATGGCAGTCTGTGGATGCCAGGTGCCCGGGCTGAAGCAGCGTGCAGAGTGAGGGGCTGCGGGCTGCTGTGTAAGAGAAGAGGCGTGAAGCAGAGCACAGGTAAAGAGTGACACTTTTTTACTTGACATTGCCTTGAAGGGAATACAAAGATCATGCCTAATGATCTTTGGGAAGTGAGCTAGTCGTCTACTGGATGTTTAAATAGCAAGATAGAGGGCTTACTGTAATAAGAGTTGATCAATGTTCTGAGAGACTAGACATAAATAGCAAATGTTTACAATCCAATAAGTCCTTTATTTTCTCGTGAGAAGAATGGGAGCAGAAATTCTCTCCAGATGTGCTCTGAGTTTGGAGAGAAGAGGGATTTTTGGAATTAAAGTATTGGGAGAGAAACAGGACCATGGCAGAGTGAAGTATCTGGCTCTGAAACTTAGTAAATGGAAGCTCTTGTTTCTTTGTGTTGTGTGTAAGTGGGACATACAGAACTATTCGTTGGATTTGTGGAATTTCAGAAGCCGGAAATTGGGGGAAATATTTACGGAGGGGAAAATATCTTTCTGTGGGCCTCAGTTTTAACATGGATATACAACTTCAATCTGCACATTCAGTAGCGTCGCTTCCCCCCCATAGTAGACAATTTTTATTCTAAAATACCTCATAATCGATCATCAATTTATAACTGAGAGATCTGTAGTTAGAAGTATAACAGGAGTATCATACTGGTAGAGCTCAAAGTTGCGGAGTATCTGTGTTGGAGGGCAGGGTATCAGTGGGATTGTCCAAAAACCGTGCAAGATAAGAAACACTAATTCAGGAACACTTTCAGTTCCTCTGAGATTTGCAAGCTTGGCAAAATGACAAGATTATTTTTACTTGAAAGTAACCAGGGTGAGAAGGAATCTTTGCTTGGGGGATCACTTTTTATGTGATTATGCCAACTTCAATTACAGTCTCAGTTATAGCTGGAGAGACTGAATCCTGGCAGATTTTCCAAGAGCGAGGACCCATGTTATAAATGCAATGTCTGTCTCCCTGATAAGAACAGATTTCTGTAATAGCCTTCAGAAGTCTGAACCCACTTGAAGGAAATGCAGGAGACTCGAGCAGGAGTTTAAAGGCATTTTCTAGCTTGTGAGGCTGGGACACTTATGACAGAAAACTTATGGGCGCCAATAATAGCATAAAATAAAGTTGTTCAGGACACAGCAAGATGGCCAGTCACTCCATTAAGACGTATGTGAGAGAACAAGCACCCCAGAGAAGGAGGCCAGAGAGGCTTGAATACTCAAAACTGCCTATTAGACTGCATGTGGAGGTTCACACAGTTTTGGAGAGATTAGGTGACAGAATGAAATGGAGTACAACCTCACACTGATGCACCAAGGCTGTTCACTGTGCTTAGGCCCTGCTTGCATTTTTCTTTGTTGGATTGTTTAGCTCTTCAGATCATGAATTAAAAACCTGTTTTACAGTCCATCGGCTGCCAGGATGAATTCCTCATTTAACCTGCGTTTCTTGGATCTCAACCCAAACATGACAGAGGGCAACCTCTCCGGAGCCAGTGTGAAGAACAAGACTTCTCCGTGTGAGGACATGGGCATCGCTGTGGAGGTATTTCTGACTCTGGGTCTCATCAGCCTCTTGGAGAACATCTTGGTCATCGGTGCCATCGTGAAGAACAAGAATTTGCACTCTCCCATGTATTTCTTCGTGTGCAGTCTAGCCGTAGCGGACATGCTGGTGAGCATGTCCAACGCCTGGGAGACCATCACCATATACTTAATCAATAATAAGCATGTGGTGATAGCGGACGCCTTTGTGCGCCACATAGACAACGTCTTCGACTCTATGATCTGCATTTCCGTGGTGGCGTCCATGTGCAGCTTGCTGGCCATTGCAGTGGATCGCTACGTCACCATTTTCTACGCCCTGCGCTACCACCACATTATGACAGTGAAGCGCTCAGGGCTGGTGATCGCGTGCATCTGGACCTTCTGCACAGGCTGTGGCATTGTCTTCATTCTTTACTATGACTCCACCTATGTCGTCATTTGCCTCATCTCCATGTTCTTCACCATGCTGTTCCTCATGGTATCTCTGTATATACACATGTTTCTGCTGGCACGGGCTCACGTCAAGCGGATCGCCGCTCTGCCCGGGTGCAGTTCTGTGCAGCAAAGGACCAGCATGAAAGGCGCGGTCACCCTCACCATGCTGCTGGGTGTGTTCATTGTGTGCTGGGCTCCCTTCTTCCTGCATCTCATTCTGATGATTTCCTGTCCTCAGAACATCTACTGCTCTTGCTTTATGTCTCACTTCAACATGTACCTCATACTCATCATGTGTAATTCTGTGATCGACCCTCTAATATATGCCTTCCGCAGCCAAGAGATGCGGAAGACTTTCAAAGAGATCATTTGTTGCCATGGCTTCAGGGTACCTTGTAGGTTCCCTAGGAGGTATTAAACCCAAACTACTTCTCTTTGCAACTGTTTTGTTGCCTTTGTTTACCTGATGACAGTGAGGGAGAGCCAAGAGATCAACAAGAAAAGTGACCACTAAAACTAGGTGTTCTCCCACCCATTTTTCCACTTCAAGACTGTGCTCGAACAAAGCTGCCTCCCCTTCCCATTTTACCCCAACTTGGTGGAAAGCTGTTGGGCCAAACAATCACTTTTGGAAATACTTTCTGAGGATTTCTTGCTGTGCTGTTTTCCTTCTAGTTATCCCCCTATTCTCACCCACTTCTGGGGGTCCCACTCATCCTGCATCTACTACATGTGTGTTCAGTCTGGGTGCAGGTTTGAGCATGATCAAAACCTGACTGCAACCCAAAGAAAAACTGTGAATTTATTATGTCTGATGTTTTCCTCACCCTGGAAGCAGTTTCATAGCTAAGATGCTTCTGGACATTATGCATACTTCTCAGGGTGTGGATAAGAGTGGTTACATTCTTTCCATTTGCAAACTGCTGTTCATTTGCTATGGGATGTTTTAAGTTCTTCTTTTTTATTTTATTTTATTATTTTTGGGAGGGGTCATATCCGGTGATGCTCAGGGGTTACTCCTGGTTCTGCACTCAGGAATTACTCCTGGTTGGGATCAAACCCGGGTTGGCCACGTGCAAGGCAAACACCCTACCCACTGTGCTATCGTTCCAGCCCCACACTATTCTTTTTTAAAAGCTTTGGCACTAACCTTGCCTCAGTGCTATGAAAGGCTCTGCACTTTTTTTTAAATCTTGTTTTGAGTCAGTCCAGGGTTTCTGAATGAGTGCAGTCAAGTTCAAGGTCTCAAACGCCTCCTGTGCTAAATACAGGACATACCTATAGTCAAGCTTTCTTTGACTTTCTGAGACTAGGTCTGCCTTGGAATCAGAGCCTCACATCCCAATCGAACTTTGGCAAGCACCCATCTCTAACGCAGGGACTCCCCTTCTCCAATCTAGAATGCCAAATATCTCCATCATGAATGGGCTATCTGGCCATGACCATTTCATTTCAGGTTTGCCTCTCCTGTGTCAATTTCAAAGAACCATCATGATAACTAAGTGGAAAAATGTAACAACACCTTAAAAGCACCCACACCAGTGGAGGTTTCTCTTTAAAAAGAGTAGCCAATGTGCTTGCAGAGAGTGGTCTAGAAGCCAAGCGGTCAGCCGGTCAGCCAGCCAGTTTGTTTGACCCCAGCCCCATTTTCAACCAGTATTCTGATCTGAAGGACTTGTTACTTGCTCCTGTTTTGCATTGGAATATTTTTGGTGGTATTAATATCTTGTACTTTGCTATTGGCAATTCACATCTAAACATTTCCCAATGAAGGGGAAGAGATAAAAATTGTACAACAGGAGATATAAAAATTGCACACTCAGGGTTGTATCAGTAAGAACTATCCAAACCTACAAAGCAGAGAGACGCACATGATATTCTCTGATTCTGGAAAACAGCAAATTAGCAGGTTGTGAACTGCTGAGGTCTGAAGCAGCAGTTAGCCGTTTAGTTGCTTCCTGATCCTTGTAGCTGGATGTGCATGGGTGAATTCATGAATGGAAGCAACAGTCCCCATGTAAGGATGGTGGGAAACCACAGTCTATGTTTACATGGGATGTCTTGGGAACCTGAGTCTATAAAAATACCTGTTTCGCAGTCCTGCTTATCTTGCTTGCTTCTGTGGCCCTTTTGCCTACCGTTGTTGGTGATACAGCAGAGCAGTCATATATCTGTTATTGTTTGATGCACAACAGTGTGCTTAATTGACTGTCTTACAACCCTAAGCATTAAATGAGGTCCCTGGGTGCTGATACTCTGTATATCTGCCGAAGCTGGCATTGGCCTTCATGCTTGATATGGGTTCCTTCTGGGAATTCACTTCCCATTCAGTAAACTTTGGGCACTTCATGACTTCAGACAAGCTTTGACTTATTTTCTAAGGATGTTTAAGGAAATGCTCTACTTTCAAAATATTTCTTTACAAGTATTTCAGAAATAACCCAAGCATTCTGCTGTGTCTTCATTTGGAAAGACTATGTGCATATAGTGATTCAGGAAACACCTGTAAATAAGCCCAAGCCCTGGAATACCAACACAAAGTCCCCAAACAAAAAATTACATAAAACTCTCAAGTATTGTATATTGTTGTGCATTGACTCTTTGTGCTTCTATGGGAACTTTATTTTGGTGTAGAAATGTGTTTTCATCTTCAAAGAAATAATAAAATGGATGTACCAGACCCCCTTCTCTGATCTGGTTATTTGACTGCAATATTAAGAGTCTTCTCAGTCTTTCTGACTATGTATCAGCAGATACTGCTGCAATTTGTCTGCAAAAAGGGAAGACACGTTCCTTGGTGATTTGAGACTAAGTTTTCTTAATAGTATTTACTCCTGCAAGGTGGTCTTTTCTCAAGTCAAAATGATTTAACTCCTAAAATAAAACATAATTTCACACTTAAAATTATATAGTATCTTTCAGCAAACAAGTAATTGGAGAATATATATCACCTATTAGTATTTATTCAGTATGGGGACTAGAAATTCATATGTGGATGATGTTTTTCACAGTTTAGCTTCTGCTTATGTTTCCTGTGTGCTCCTGTCCCGTGAGACCTTGTTGTTCCTCTGTGGAACACTGTCCTCTGTCACCTCCAGGCCTTGGCCACCTTCTAGGTACCTTGTGTTTCTTCCCTCCTCTTCTCATGACTGATTGTTGCAAGTAACTAAAGGAACCAGGTTCTGAGTATAAAGTCATGAACATATCACGAATGATATTCACAGTCGTGCCTTTGTTTTGTGATTCTAACTTAGAATAGGTTGCATATATTAAATATTTGATAGAATAGATAGATTTTTTTCTGGTCAAGCTGACAAGCTGATTTAGATAAGTTCCTGATGTATTCTGTTGTTTTGAGTTTGGAGGTCATACTTGTCAGTACCCAGGGCTTACTCCTGACTCTGTGCTCAGGGTCACTTCTGACAGTACTCAGGGGACCATATGTAGTGTTGCATTTCAAACCGGGGTCAGATGTGTACAAGGCAAATCCTTACCCACTGTACCATCTCTCTGACCCCTGCTACTGATGTTTTAATTAAAAAAGACAGTTCTAAATTTAGATTTTTTTTCGAGTTACAACAGTTAAGACTTGCAGTTTTTTTTGTTTGCCAAGTCGGTATCTAGCATAGCCATCAAAATACATCTCACAAATACCTAGTGTAGGAGATAACTCATGTGAAATGTGCCTGTCTCTCCACCTTGGCAACACATGGAAGTGACCCTGGTGGCTCTGGAGCACTAAGCCTGAACACTACAGGTTTATGTGCCCAGTTGAATAAAGAGGAGGGGAGAGAGGCAGTACAAAAGGTAAGGGGATTACCTTGCTCATGGCCAACTGGATTTGATCCTCAGCACCCCCCGTATGGTCCTCCAAACACTGCCAGGAGTGATCCGTGAGCACACAGCCAAGAGTAAGCCCTGAGCACCACAGGTGTGGTCCCAAAACAAACAAGGTCCAGGGTGATAGTACAAAGGGTAAGGCACTTGCCTTGCACTTGGCCCACCTGAGTTTAATCCCTGGCACCCTATATGGTCCCCCAAGCCCACCCAGAGTGATTCCTGCACACAGAGCCAGGAGTAAGCCCAGAATACTGTTGTGTGTGAACCCAAAACAAAACAGACCAAAATAAGCAAGAAGCAAAAAAAAATGCTCTACTATAATGAGTCTCATGCAACATAATCCAACCAATCCACTGACTGCAGTTCTCAACCTTGGAGTAGTGTCTGAGGAATGGAGTGCTATGGAAACGTAGAAGCCTCATCTGCAATAACCCCTTACCTCATGTGCTAGGGCAAGAGCAGATTGTACCGAGCAAGGTGCCCTTCTTGAACTTACACATCCACACATATACACATGCGCATGTAAGTGCACATGCACGTACAAACTCCTGCTATCAGGAGGATTTATAAGGAAATTGAGATGTAGAAATGCCAAAGAAGTGTGAGTGGATGGGAGCAGCAGGAAAGCTGTAGGGACTGGTGGATGTTACGTATGTATGAGTTGTATGAATGCATTTCTGCTTCATTTATTTCTGCTTTCCCCTGACTCCCATCATCACTACCTAAAACTCACTGCTTCCCACAGTAACAAGAAACTTTTTTGTTTTTGTTTTTTTTGAGGGGGGGTCACACCCAGCGATGCACAGAGGTTACTCCTTGCTCTGCACTCAGGAATTACTCCTGGTGGTGCTCAGGGGACCACGTGGGATGCTGGGAATCAAACCCAGGTTGGCTGCATGCAAGGTAAATCTCTCCAGCCCCTAACATTAAAGAACCTTTGATGTATTGCTAGGAACAATTCGGTCTAATAATAGAGCTCCACATTTTAGTTCAACTCAAGTCCTTTGTACTTATTAATACCACTATGTATCTCAATACTAAGTTAAATGGCATTTTCCCTTCAAGAAAAGTGAAGATACAGTAAAGTGCATATAAAACTCATATTCCAGAAGACAACAGTTAAATATAAAATCTCTAGTCGGTGCAAATGAGCTACACGTAACACCAACTATAGTAATAACTAAAAAAAATCCATGTGGGGTTATGGAGATATAAGCCAGTAAGATAATTAGTGGTATATAAATATAAAACCTCCTCCAAAAGACTTTTCTCTCTTATTTTTGCTAGTGCTCAGGGCTTTATCCTAGCTTAAGAATCACTCCTGGTAGGCTCAGGGACCATATGGGGTGCTGGAGTCAGCCACATTACTATTGCTTCAGCCCCTTTTCTTCATTTTTATCTTTTATTTCTTATTTTATCTTTAAAATTTTTATTGTATTTCTAATTTTATTATCTTACAAAATTTTTGGTCATTTTTATCTGATACTTTTCCCACTGAAGCTGAAGGGTTCTGTCAAAGCCAGTTGCTGTAGTTGTGTGTGTGTGTGTGTGGGGGGGGGGTTCTGTTTTCCATGCAGT